TGCGGTGTCAGTCCACTGATGTCGTTCAACAATTAATTTTGTACTGTGAAAAACTTTTGGATGCAAGAAATAACAATTTAAGTTCTACGGCATTGTTGATGTTTTACCAGTTCAGGAATCTGTACGTTTTTTTCAACAAGATGATGGAGATATAGTCGTAGCCTTACTTGGTGGTATTACAGATTTTATGCAATCTGTGAACTCTGACAACTGGAGAAACACGATGTGCTGCTTGGCAGATCATATATTTCACCTGTACGGAAAATTTAAAGGCGAATTATCTCAGCATAGATTTAATTTTGGACACTAAAATATTTGCCATCAAGCAAATATAGCATATAGATATACATGTATATTATGTAATATGTATGTTTTTTGTTGGGTTTTTTTGTGCTTTAATTGTAAATTGTAATTATATGTTGTTCCTTTCTCGTAATTAGTATACTTGTGTTAAAAAATGTAAATCTTCAGTATAATGGAGGAAATAAAGAGAATCAATCTAATTAAAATATAGAACTCGGATTTCGTTATACTGCTCGTATGCAGTATGACGAAATCCGAGTTCTATATTTTAATTAGATTGTAAAGAGAATCAATCAATCAATCATACTTAACAAACATCGGTTCACCCATACACAACCGACTATAGGTTTAAAGATCAATGACTGCATATGTTGCTGCGCTCATGACAAGAGGACGCAGAAACCGATACTATGTCAACCTTATCAAAATATAGTCCATAAATTTATTTCATTTTGTTTATTTACTATAGTATGATTAATGAAATGAAATGGTCAATACGCTTCATTTCACGATAGATTCTTTCATAGACGGTGGCAACAACCTATTGTATGGAATTTTGGTAGTCTTCATGAACGACAGAATGCAATAGTCATAGATCAAATATAAAAGTTAACTTGTAAAATTAAATATGTTTTTTTTTCAAAATCACTCAATTGAGGCGCTGTTTTCTTTTAGCTAGTTTCCAATATGTTTTGTATTTCACTGAATGAGAAAAGAACAATATCAGATATTAAACTTTGAAATGCACAGGTATAAGTGTCTGAGTGAGGTTTACAGATTAGAGAATAATGGGCCCCAAAAAATAAAGAAAAGAGGAAAATGGGCCAAAAAAATAAAGAATAGTGAATATATAAAGAATAGAGAAAAATGGTCAAAATTTATAAAGAATAAAGAAAATGGGCTTAAAAATTAAAGAAAACAGAATTGAAGTACCCCCTATCCATACCCTCGTTTATAAATACCCTGAATAGTTGTTGGCATACAATAATTGAACAAACAATTAAACATGAAGAATATAAAACTAACGATTCCACTTTCAGCGCTATGACTGTTATAGAGTAACAAACTACAAAAGGGAGCAACTAATTGATTCTTAGGGGTAAATAGGAAAAATTTGAAATAAATAGACAGGACGGTAAATTTGACACCAAAAATACAGGGTGGCCGATGTCCTCACACCGCAGTATATGTATATGCCAGAGCGACTGATCATACAGGGTGGCCGATGTCCTCACACCGCAGTATATGTATATGTCAGAGCGACTGATCATACAGGGTGGCCGATGTCCTCACACCGCATTGTATGTATATGCCAGAGCGACTGATCATACCGGGTGGCCGATGTCCTCACACCGCAGTATATGTATATGTCAGAGCGACTAATCATACAGGGTGGCCGATGTCCTCACACCGCATTATATGTATATGCCAGAGCGACTGATCATACAGGGTGGCCGATGTCCTCACACCGCAGTAAATGTATATGCCAGAGCGACTGATCATACAGGGTGGCCGATGTCCTCACACCGCAGTATATGTATATGCAAGAGCGACTGATCATACAGGGTGGCCGATGCCCTCACACCGCAGTATATGTATATGCCAGAGCGACTGATCATACAGGGTGGCCGATGTCCTAACACCGCAGTATATGTATATGCCAGAGCGACTGATCAGACAGGGTGGCCGATGTCCTCACACCGCAGTATATGTATATGCCAGAGCGACTGATCACACAGGGTGGCCGATGTCCTCACACCGCAGTATATGTATATGCCAGAGCGACTGATCACACAGGGTGGCCGATGTCCTCACACCGCAGTATATGTATATGCCAGAGCGACTGATCATACAGGGTGGCCGATGTCCTCACACCGCAGTATATGTATAAGCCAGAGCGACTGATCACAAACAGCGTGAAAGTTAAATACTCATAAGTAATTGTTAAAATGAAGCTTGATAACAGAAGAAACAAAGATAAACAAGTTATATGTCAAACAAAGTTTACATGTATTTTTTTTTTTTTAAACAAATTCAAAATACTGTTATCTTTATATTCATGCAAACAATTTTTTTCTCTTTATTTCCGGAACTCACATCAAAAGAGCTAATTTTATCTTAATATTCTATGTTTTCTTTCTTTCACACAAAATTGTGTTTTTCATGTATAATCAGGCTATAGAAAACCTTACAATTTTTGGCACAACCTGTATGTAGCTTAAAAAATGCCTCGTAACCTATACATGGGACTGTTACACAAATACCAGTTATCGTCTAATACGGGCTTGTTCACTAATAATATATTATATAATATATTAGTCCTAGCCTTTACTTTTTATCATACTGACAGCCTTCGCGATAAAAAGTTTGAGTCCACAAGCCCGAAACTCTATTTTTTGAAAATTTTAGTTGGTTTCTGTTGGCTTGTTAAGAAGAATTTTACAAGCCTGAAAGAAAGTTTACAAGCCATGGCCGTAGGACTTGTGGTTAAGCGTGAAGACTGTTAACTGAAGAAGAAAAAAAACATGTTAAAAACAAGGATTTGTATAGTAAGAACTTACTATATATATACAAATCCTTAATAAAATCTACATTTTAGCAATTGATTAAATAAATTCTATCGATTTTAATTTAACCCAACATCTACCTTACTCATGTGATCCTGTAACATTACATGACATAAAATTGTCTAGTCTTTTATATGCTGATGACTTAGTATTAATATCAGAATCTTCAGAAGGTTTACAAAATTGTCTAAACAAGTTAAACACTTATTGTGAAAAATGGAACTTGACTGTCAATCTTGACAAGACGAAAACAATGATATTTAATAAAAGTGGTAAAAAACTTACTAAAGACAAGTTTGTATTGAATAATGAAGTAATCGAATGCTGCACAGAATATAAATATTTAGGTATACTATTCAAGCCATCAGGAATTTTCACTAATGCTGTAAATCTCCTCTGTAAAAAAGCTTCAAAGGCATTGTTTTGTATTAAAAAAATCCTTTACTCAGATAAGATGGATGTTTTTTCCCATATGAAACTTTTTAATTCTTGTGTTAGTCCAATATTACTGTATTGTAGTGAGATATGGTCACTAAATATTGTGAAGAACAACAAAACTCTTGAATCTCAATACTTATCAATGGAATCAGTAAAACTCCAGATCAAATTTGCGAAAAGTCTTCTTAATGTTAATTCAAAGGCAGTAAATACAGCTGTATTAGCTGAATTGGGAATGTACCCTATTGGTATACAGGCCCTTAAGTCTTCTGTAGGATTTTGGTTACATATTTTAAATTCAAATGAAAATGAATCTTTATTATATAATGTTTATAAAGTTAACAAGCAGTTAAATGATGGATTTGCTTCAAAAATTAAAATGCTACTATCAAAATTGAATTTCACTCATGTTTGGGAAAATCAATGTACCTTTTCTAAAAAACGATTACTTTTAGCCCTCGTGAAGAAGCTCAATGAAAATTACATTATATTTTGGAAAAATTGTCTCTTTAATGATGATAATTCAATAAATGGAAATAAACTAAGAACCTACAGAAAATTTAAAGTAAAGTATGAACTAGAAAAGTACCTTTTATTGAATTTAGATAAAAATGTTACAAAAAATTATGCCAAAATAAGAATAAGTAATAGTATGCTGGCTGTTGAACGCGGTAGATACAACAAAACAGCCTTGGAAAATAGAATATGTCCTTTATGCCATAAAGAGGTGGAAGATGAATACCATTTTATCATAACATGTACAGAAATTAATAAAACTAGGATCAAAATGTTTAATGAAATTTCTAGTATTGTCCCCAGTTTTAATTCAATGAGTAAAGAAAACAAATTTGATTTTATATTTTCTTATGAAGAATGTGATATTTTACTTATCATTGTTAACAATATAAGTGAAATGTATAATGAGAGAAACAATTATAATGTCAATATATATGTGTGATTGGTGGCTTAACTTATAATGTTATATATACTCATAATATCTGAATTGATAATTTTATAGAGGAGGCATGCTGTCAAAAATAGTATAATACTTAATAATAATAATCTTTATTTTTTTTTTCAATGCTACATGTTTGTATTGTTTAATGTCTATCGTTTTGTCATTAATATGCCTGTCTGTCTGTTTGTTTGTTTTGTTTTGGTTTTGTATTGGTTTGTTTATTTAGTAACAATCCTATTGTTTGGATTTTAAACTAATAAAATTCTTATTCTTATTCTTATTCTTATTCTTATTCTTATTCTTATTCTTATTCTTATTCTTATTCTTATTCCTATTCTTAATTAACGTGTTTTTATGTAATTTGAATTTGTTGTATGCATGAGCTATATGATTTAATCTTGGAACAGTATACTCTAACATATATGTTCCTGATTTAATGTTTGAGGTAATTTTCTATTATATATATTCGGACAACAGCTCAATAGGGATTGCGTTTTGTGGTTTTAAACATTCTGAATAAAAATAGGTGATGAGGGTGGTTTTAAACGACCTTGACTACCCATGAGGTACCATCAAAATAGAGCTTTCTATCTTATCATATATTGTAAATATATTCCGGAAACTTGTGTTTAGTTCGTTAACGTTTTAATATTATTGTTTCAGATGTGTAGTCTATTGAACGTTTTTAAGTAACTTGGCTTAACATTGTCATTGTGACGTAATTATGAATCAATGTGAAAGGAGCGCTATATTATTTTTCTAAAATTATCTGTGCAATTTTCCCAAAAAGTTTCTATTTCCTATATTGAGTCATGGTATAATAATACATCACTTGACATAATTTTTCAATATAGTCATATGAGAAAGATGGCAAGTGGATCTAGAGGATTGTTCGAAGAGTTTATAGTGGACACGGAACAAGTATCACAGATCACTCGCGCGAAATCAAAAATTGAAAGGATGCACGAAGTTCGAATTAAGTTGAAAGAGGAGGCAAAACTTGACGCCAGTAGTAAACGTTGGATACGAGTAGAAGGCGACGTGAGAGATAGAATGAATGCCAGGGTACGACTGTACATGTTTGTTTCGTACCTAGCATATGGGACTAGACTATATATATGTGTCTGCTAATGTATCCACCCCATTACTCCCAATTATGGAGTAAACTTTATTGATTATTTATGTAAAATGTCTTTGTTCCTTCCTATGAAACTAATTGCCTGATAAATAATTTCTCTCATATTCATCATGTTCATGTCAAAATAAATTTACTTCATACATTTGTACTTTATTTCATTTTAAACAATTTTCTAGTCAAATGTCAAAAACTGTTCACATTTACTTGAATTTCCATGTCAAAATGACATTTTATTGATTTCTGTTGTTTCCTTTCAAGTTGTACTAATCATGCTAATTGTCTTCTAAAAATAATTTTTCTGACATCAAATTAGATATTGTAAAGTTCCATATACTACATTCTCAATGATTAAAATGCATTTAAATATGCCTGGAGTGAATATCTTCAGGGCTGCTCCACTACAAGTAATTGTGTTCAATGGTAACCCTGTTGGTAGAGTAGGGACACAGGGTATTGTAACTGATAGGACTACTATACCATATTTTAAAGGTTGGACACAATCTGCCCAACAGGGAACAGCATAGACATGTGTTGTGACCAATAAGGGCAAAAGGTGCATAAAAACCATACATACATGTAATGTCATTATTACCTAAACTAAAGAGGACAAAAGAATATTGATTAGCATTAGATACATATACAATCATGACAATAGAATAAATGCCACAGTGCCAGAAATTGACCTGCGTAATGACATTAAATTTGATTTAGATGCAATGATTTCTATGATTCAGTATGATAGTCAAACAATACATGCAATATGCCAATAAAAACAAGTAATTAATTTGAATGAAGAAATAAATCTTTCATGTCATGCTCTATGCCCATTTTAACATAAGTATGCATAATATTTTTCAATATCATTATAATGAGCATAAGTGAGGTGTAAAAAGTTGACAATATTTAATGCCTACCTATGTTAAAATAAGCAAAGAGCATGGCATCATAAAAGTATAAAATGTATTTCGATTCTAATAGAAAAATTTAGAACTTTTGTACTTCAAAAAAGGCCTATAAGACAGGTTCGAAAAGCAACCATTTTGATTTGATGAAGCCAAAATGATATAGAATACTAAATGTCATGACTGTTCCACAATAAAAAAATGAACAGATTATAATTTTCATTTGCATGAATTGAGTTAATTTTCTATCAAACAACACCAACACAAATGTTCATTTTGATCTACGGTTTTGTTCAAAATACAACTGACATTGTAAAATTTAATTGTGTCATCAATCACATGTGGCCCATATTCTATGGCTTTGTTTATAAAGTGAAAGAAGAATATTAGAACCAGCTATAAAATGTATATATTAAGTACAGTAAAAATTATCAAGCGACAATGATATACTTGTAAGAATTTTGTCTTCATTTAAAATATTTCTGAATTTAGCTGATTCCGTTTTACTTAAAATTGAACCATGTGAAATCATAAAATTATTCATAATAGAACTCCATAGACAATTTTCTTTCCTGTTTAAATACATTCAGGAGAGAAATTACGGTTAATTTTTTTAATGCAATTTTGACATAATATTCTTGAAGCAATCTGCAATCAATTGTAAATATGGTGGTCCATGCAAAATTTTGTAACTAAAACAGAAAGTTTTTTAAATGCTGGAGATTCAACTTCCCTTTTTTGGTGCTGAATTATGCGACAGTGTATTTTTAATGCAAAATGGTTGTGCAGCTTTTCAAATCTTACATTAATGTTATACAAATTACTGAATAAAAACATGTAAATTGGAACTTTGTGTTGATGATAAAAAGTAGAGTCTTCAGTTGCCTTGAATTTTATGCCTGTGCAACAGATTTCATGTGCTTAAATATACAGCATATACCTTTTCCTTTGCAACTGCTTTCAAATTCAAGTTTCCAATTTGATCAATGTAAATGTGATTTCCATGAATTCTGGATGTCTGTCTATCATTAGCAACATGACGAATATGATTTGTTAAGTTTGGATGTTTTATTATCTGCCCTTGCTACAATTTCTGCTGTATTGTATCCTTATGATTTATTTGTGTATTGACTAGACATCACTATAGTGTAAATGTACAAAGTTAAAAGTACTTTGCATAAATCTGTTTGATTTTTTTAGCCTTTTTTGTATAAATCAATTTGATTATTTTTAGAATGATTCTAATGTGCACTCATGGCCCATCTGTTTCTTTTTATTATCTGCTAAAAAATGAGTTTTTCTGAGATATTTAAAGGTACCAACAACTTGACTTATACAAATACATGTATGACTGTACAACAATCTGTAAAAGTTGGAAACAGTTTTTTATTTCGTTTTAGATGTGTAAAATCACCCCTATTTTTTCACTGGCATCACTAACAATTGTTCATACTCTTTAAGAGGTCTATGAATAAAACATGTCAAGGAATCTGAAACTTTGCCAGATATTTAAGTCCATATACACATACACCGAAAAGATGGCTTAAAAAAAAAAATAGAGCAAAAATGCTTGATCCTTGAGATTTTATAGACAACAGTCTATTTCTTGAACATTTAATTATACCCCCGCTTTAAAAAAGTGGGGGTATACTGTTTTACCTGTGTCTGTCTGTCCGTCCATCTGTCTGTCCCATGAATATTTTTCGTCGCATTTTTCTCAGGTACTACATTACAAGGATTTCTGAAATTTGGTTTCAAGGTTTATATGAGTGAGCTATACCGTGTGATGCGTTTTCAGATTCATCACTCAACAACTTCCTGTTTACCGAACACTTGCATATTTTTACACTATTAAAATTATCCATATTTGGGCGGGGGTATCATCAGTTCTCAAGTATCACTTGTTTTATACTATAATTAATTAGTATTATTATTTATTACAGGAATACATCATCGCAATGTGTCAACCAGGTGAAGTATACGATTTGCCATTTAATGATAAATCTCGAGAATTTTTACATGAAGATAATTTAGAAGAAATTGAAAAGCAAACCAATGCTTGTATTGAACTGGGTGATTTAAACAAAGTACTGATTAAAGGGACAGAATTAGCAGTTACACTTGCAATATCTTCCTTAGAAAATATTATTGGCCAGTCAAATATAGAAACAGATGGTGTTATCGATTCTGAAAATGACACCAACAAAGGAGCCACTGTTGGTCCTCCTTCTGATTGGGAGAAACGATTAGACAGTACATTTCTCAGAGCTTTGTCTAATGCTAGTGATGGTTCATGCAAATTTGACGATTACCATAATACTTCTGCAGAAGTAAAAATGGCAATTTTGAAAACTTTAAACAATGAATTAAGTGATAATGTTGATGAAAATGAACTGTTTGACCATAGTGGGAAACAAAAGTCAGCTGGCGCCACTTCTCTTCATCCGATTCATATCTATGGTGATGATGACCTTAAAGATGTTATAGATAGTGACAATATACAACCAGAACCTGTAGATAATATATCAGAACAGCTGACAGAAACAGTTATATCACCACGGAAACCATCTTCTAAATCAAATGACACTGAAGAGGTTAAATTTTTACGAAATTTTGGAACATCAGCAGGATTTTCCGAAAAAATAGTAGATGAAGGTTTATTGTATGTTGATGATAAAACAGCTCCATGTGAATTTCTTGACATACTGAAACAATTAAAAGACTCTAAAAAGTCAGAAGATGCTGAGACACCAATGGAAATTTCAGATGGGACTCCAAATAAGTCTTCAGCTTTTCCACCACCACCTCAAGTACCAGAAGGAGATCAAGGTCGTAGAAGTTTGCCTAAAGAATACAAGAAGACTCTTATGAAACACATGAAAGCTGAAGAAGAAGGAGAAATGTCTGTTAATGAACTGAAAAAGTTGAATGAAGAGCGTCAAAAAATTCTAAAAAACCAATTTGAAAGTCCATCAAAACAAAACTCACCTAGGGGAGAGAACAGTCGCAGAAGGAAAAAAAATCGAAAGAAAAACAAGAAAGTTGGTCAAAATAATAACATTGTTTCAATAGAAAAAGACAGTGGGGTAAATGATGAGGATGAAACACGTGTATTAGAACCATATGAGAGTAGTTCTGGGGAAGACTGTATAATAATGGATGTTGAAGAGCCATCTGTACCTGTTTACATCCAACCTTCTCCACCTCGTCCAGTAAATAATTATCCTCCAACACAGAGGCAGCCTATAGGTCCAACTGATAACTATGCTAGGAATCATTTTCCTGTTAACCCTCCTCAACGTAAAGAGCCCCCGTCTGGTCCAAGAGAATTACGCTATATTGTTATAGATGGTAGTAATGTGGCTATGCAGTAAGTGCTATATATATTAAAATTTGCTGCAACAAAATAAAATTTTGAACCAGTAGATATGGCTCTATGTTCACTTTGGATTTGAAGATAGAACTGAATTCTGATTAATTTGCCCTTAAATGTAAAAATAAATTAGTTTTGAATCAGAAAGTATACTTTTATATATTTCCTACTTGTATCTTTAAAAAATGAAAGATTCTGAAATATCAATCTTTATAATTTTAAGTAGAGAGGTAAGATATAATTTTTAAACAGTGGATAAGAAATAATTATAGTGTTTTTATACGCCCTTTTACGGGACGTATTATGGTATACCGTTGACCGTCCGTCCGTTGTCAACATGTCAGACATTAACTCAAAAACGCTTTTACCAATATGCATGAAACTTTAGTGAATTGTTTATATCTATTGACGTGAGCTCCCTTTCGTTTTTTATAAATTTGGGATTTACCGTTTCTGAATTTTGGAGTTTTATTCATTAAAAAAGGGGGGATTTTCCAGTTTTCGGACAATAACTCAAAAACAATTTCACCAATTTGCAAGAAACTTTGTTGAATTGTTTAATGCTATTGACATGAGCTCCCTTTTGATTTTTATAAATTTTAGACTATACGTTTCTGATTTATGGGGTTTTATTCGTTACAAAAAGGGGGATTTTCCAGTTTTCGGACAATAACTCAAAAATGCTTTCAGCATTTTTTATGAAACTTTGGTAAATTGTTTATATCTATTGTTGTAAGCTCCCTTTTGATTTTTATAAATTTTAGATTTTATGTTTCCGTGTTACAAGATTTTATTCATAAAAAAGGGTTGATTTTCAAGTTTTTGGAAAATATCCTTAAAGTGCTTAGAGCAGTTTTCATTACAGCTCTTCTATAAAAGCATGCAACGCAAACCTTTGATCAACTTGCTTGCTATGTTTGCTTGGATGTTTGCAAACAATAGGTAGGCGGAGTTTCAGTCTGTTTTATATATACTGGGATTTGATTGGACAATAAAAATTGACATGCAATGAAGTTAATGTTTATTGTCCAATCAAATTCCATTATATAGTAAACAGACTGAAACAGACTACCTACTTATTGTTTACAAACATCCAAACAAACATAGCAAGCAAGTTGATCAAAGGTTTGCTTTGCATGCATTTATAGAAGAGCTGTAAACTTTGATGACTGATTTATATCTATTAAGATAACCTCCCTTTAGTTTTTTTTTATAAATTTCTAATATAACATTGAGAAGTTATTGAACTTTATTTGTTTATAGTCTGACAACAGATTTACTAGTATTGCGCAACAGCACAGTGTATTGCACAACAGAAAGAAATCTTTAATTGAATATCAATTCAATTCATATAACCAATTTCAAGTTCTTTGACTACATTTATTCAGAAACCTATAATATGTCAAATATTTAATTACAATCCAAATTCAGACCTGTATCAAGCTTGAATATTGTGTCCATTTTTGCCCCAACTGTTCAGGGTTGGACCTCTGCGGGCGTATCCAGCTGCGCTCAGCGAAGCAGTTTATTACCAGTATCATTACTTTAGGAAGTTATTCAATGAAATTCAATTCAAGTTGTGTATTGACCTGATTGATATCAAAGTTGATTTCCACTCTTTTTCAAATATATACAAAGGGAGACAATTTTCTCAAGTATCAAATTTTATGAACAGTTGACATTTAATACTTAAAATTAATTAAATGACTCACAGCATTGTCAGTGCTTTGATTTTGGTGAGAAACATCATTTAGTTCCTTAAATTTTAAAAAGTACATTTTGCATGTTTAGAATTTTTTCCATGTAGTACCAGCATCTATGTTTTGACATATTATTGTAAGTTCTGCCTTCACTTGCAGGAATAAAATACTGCTAGCTGATTATCAGATTAAACCTTTAAATATGTTTTATAAAAACATAATTTTGAAATTTTTGAAATGTGGTATATATTGATTTTTTTCTTTTCCAGTCATGGACGAGGAAAAATATTTTCCTGCAAAGGTATAAAGTTATGTGTTGATTACTTCCTTAATCGTGGTCATAGTAAGGTTACATGTTTTGTTCCTGCATGGAGGCGATATAAACCTAGACATCAGAATCCAATATCTGACCAGGAAATACTTGTAGAATTAAATGAGAGGGGTCTGTTGGAGTTTACTCCAGCCAGAAGATTGGATAATAAGCTGATCAGCTCTTACGATGATAGGTATGATTTCATTAAGAAAATATCAGTACAATTTTTTGTCAAAAGGAAACATCAAAGGTACAAAATTCGCAAGATGTATTCAAAATTGAAAATCCAAAATCACTGACAAAAACAGGAAGACGTGATAAAAACAATTGGAAAATGTAGTGTTATATATTCACGATTTCTAGGATCACGAATGATAAATTTTAAGAGTGGAGCCAATAAAGTAATTTTTTAAATTGTTGAAAATATATATATACATTGTATACCTTTGTGCAGTAACATCAACTGTATATATGTATATGTATGCATTCATGTAGCTTAATGTTATAAAAAAAATAAAGACTTTATTGCTGGACATTCTGGATATAAAATTATTCTGATTAAGAATTATTGTTCAAACTGGTGCTTAGAAAATCAAAGATAAAGAAGCACCACTGTAAAATAGAGTGTTATGATTGGTGATTTTTGGATTTGACACACATACTATTAAGGGAAAAGCGTTAGATTAAATTGGCATTTGTAGTACATCAAACTTTCCCAATAGCGTGACAGTCATTTTAAACTGCAATTTGTCTCTTTATTTTATTATCTCTAGATATGTGGTAGAGTTAGCAGAAACAGTGGAGGGAATCATTGTATCTAATGACCAGTACAGAGATTTAATGGGAGAAAAATATAGTTGGAAGAAAATCATTGAAGAAAGGTTAGTATATCATAACAGAATACTAATTTTGAGTTTTCAATGAAGTTTAAAAGAATTGTGATTAAACATGTTGACATGATTTTTAGGGGGAGGGGTGTTGTGAAAAAGTAATTCTAACAAACAAGTCACATCAAATTATCTTGACATATTGCTGTTTCAGAATCTAATGCATTCTTAGTAATATTTTCACCAAAAAGTGTAAACCAAAACCATTATGATAGGTTAACAACATCATAAATATAGGATATCCAACCAATGGCATAATCTCATTTTCAGTTAAGTGTACATGATGATTTACTGTGAATTGCTTCAAATGATGAAATAAAGAGCTTACACCCTCCAAAAAGATTAAGATGGCTCCAGTGTTGACCATATTTATTCTCTTGACTTTTATCAATACATGTACCAGCAAGGTATCTTTGAAGGAGTATATGTGGGAGTAATAAATGAATTGAATTTTGAACTGTTGAAGTGTTCCTACAAATTCAGTCATTATAAAATTAAGGAGATGTGGTATGATTGCCAATGAGACAACTATCCACCAAAGTTCAAATGAAGTGGATGTAAGCATTATAGGCAACCGTACAGCCTTTAACAATGAGAAAAACCCATACTGTATAGTCGGCTATAAAAGGCCCTGACATGAAAAATATGAAACAATTCGATTGAGAAAACTAACAGCCTTATTTATAACAAAACAATTTACAAAAAACAAATATAACAGACATGAACCAACGACAACAACTGAACTACAGGCTCCTGACTTGGGACAAGCACATAAAGAATGTGGCGGTGTTAAACATGTTTGTGAGCGCTCAACCCTCCCGCTGGCTTAACATGGGACAGTGGTATAACAGCACAATATAAGAACAAACTATAAAAATCCGTTGAAAAAGGCTTAACTCATCAGTTCGATACAAAGAAAAACATCAAACAAAAACACAGACAGTATGTTGCAGGGTATATATCCATTCTCAACAACAAAATAGACACAAAGTACAGATCTGAGTACTGACGGCTAGTTCAAAGCCAATAACAACTAATAAAAAAAATCATGTATCTAAACTAAAATATCAATCAGTACACATCCAAAAGCCAATGGATTTAGTGTAAAGACGTCATCAACAGTCAGAGAAAAACATGACCTTGTGCAATGCCAAAATATAGGTATCGACAGATTGTAGTACCTTGAAAGTACATATATGTAATATTTAGTATGGTTTTAATTTACTGATAACAAAATCAATATTTATACCAATAAAAACAATATTCAAAGATTTAATTACAGTGTTGAATAGGTAACCTTTAAGAATAAGTTTATTTAAAGGATTGATAAGTTTACCCGTATCGCATCTAAATTTCCGACTCAGTTAACAACATCTCCGTAAAATTAATTATGTGCTATTCCTGTTTGAAAGAAGTTTTCTACAGGTATTTGTTTTCCCGTATTGCAACTGACAGTACTCAGTAGAGTGGTAAAAATAACATTTGTTAACATATTTATAGGACAGTCTATTGTCATACTAGTTAGGATCTTAAATTCTATAATACCAGTCTATTGTTATACTACAGATAGCTGGGATCATAAATTCTATAACATTTTATTCACTATAATGGGTCACATTTGAATTATAGTACATGTATATTGGAAGAAGAGAAAGTTAAAGATACCTCAACACTTTAAGGGGACATTATTTGACCTAAGACTATTATGAAATGAAATGGTCAAGATACCTGATCACACCAGCACATTTTACTTTTTTTTCTCTTGCATTAAAATAACCAATAGACCTCTTTCGAGTTCATTGCTTTTCAGTCAAAAACTTTGGTTTTATTGAACATCATTCGTGCGTTTAGGGGCATCGTCACTTCCTTTCCATGTTGAGTGAGTGATTAAAAAAAAAATATGATGCTCCACTGTCCCAGGTTAGGGGGAGGGTTTGGCACCATCTAACTAGTTTAATCCCGCCACATTCTGTATGTTTACCTGTCCCAAGTCAGGAGCCTGTAATTCAGTGGTTGTCGTTTGTTGCTGTGTTACATATTTGTTTTTCGTTCATTATTTTCTACATATATTAGGCCGTTAGTTTTCTTGTTTGAATTGTTTTACATTTGACATTTCGGGGCCTTTTATAGCTGACTATGCGGTATGATCTTTGCTCATTGTTGAAGGCTGTACCGTGACCTATTGTTGGTAATTTCTGTGTCATTTGGTCTCTTGTGGAGAGTTGTCTCATTGGCAATCATACCACATCTTCTTTTTATGCCCTCTCCGTAGGGGAGGGGGCATTAAGTTTTACCCTTGTCCGTCTGTACGTCCGTACGTACGTACATCCGGCCATACATACGTCCCAAAGTTGGTTTCCGTTCTCTAAATTTAGTTTGCCTGGACCAAATGTTATGAAACTTATACACAATACTTATTACCACAAAACACAGATCAAGTTTGAATTTTGGTGGCGTCACTTTAACTGTTCTAGGGTTATGCCCTTTTACAAATGGAAAAATTGCTGAATTTTTCGTTTCCATTCTCTAATTTTAGTTTGACTCAACCAAATGTTATGAAACTTATACACAATGCTTATTACTACAAAATACAGATCATGTTTGATTTTTGGTGGTGTCACTTTTACTGTTCTAGAGTTATGCCCCTTTACAAAAAGAAAAATTCTGCAATTTTTATTTTCCGTTTTCTAACTTAAGTTTGCCTCTACCAAATGTTATGAAATTTTTACACAATACTTATTACTACAAAATGCAGATTATTAACAAATTTGGGTAGCGTCACTTTTATCCTTCTTCAGTAATGTCCCTTTATAATTTTATATGATATGCAAGCAGGGGCATCATCTGTGTCCCATGGACACATTCCCCATTTATTTATTTGTATATTGCACAAATTAATCGGCAAATTAATTTTTTATAATTGATAATCAGCACTGCTGTCATTAGGGAATTATGATTATGTACCTACGGAACAAACATTATTTCTAGTTTATCCTGTATAATGATGATCACGAAGACACTTGATGAACTTTGATAGTGCAGTGATACAGGTGTCCCCTCTATAAGGTAAATGACGTCAAAAACTAAAGGTGCTCATGATTAACGAACTTTTCCAGTGAAGGACATAACTCGAAAGTGGTCTATTAAAGCGCTATGATTAAATTCATCAAATAAATATATACAGCTTTCTGGCCGACCATGCAATACCCTCATGTGTAGTCAAGCAGTGTTTCAGCTTGATCTTTTCACAGGGCGGTCCGCCCGCCCTTTCCAGACTGACGCCCTGTGCCCTTTTTCTCAAGTCTATGCCTTTATTGTCGTATTATTATGATGAAAATGCTATAATTCTACCTGTCTTCATGTTTTTTACAAGTTAATGACCTCAGCTAATTAACATTTACAGCAGGTTGTGCAAGTTGTGATAACAGGTAATCCGCTTATCTCTATCGGATGGGTCACTAATCCGTTAAATAATCAATCTCATAATTGACCAATATAATCATTTTTCACAGTAAAATCAGTCAGTCTGAATTTCAATTTAACTGTTTCTCAAACGACCACAATTAGCAGTTCGTTTATCCATATATATTTTCGTAGTTTCGTCAATTGTACAAAATTGTTCTAATCTTCGTATTTAAGCATCACATCAGTCAAATCATACAATAACTGCCTACATTTGAAGAATGCCTAAAGCCTTCAAAGATCCTGGTCCTTGAAGGACTTGGGCAAATGTATAGCTAGTAATATACGTCCTTGGTCCCTTGCTGTTACCCAAAATAAGGTTGATTTTCATCTTGCGCCAGAGTGACTAAAGCCCTCCAAATCCTAGCTGAAACCCTGCTGTTTACATAATAAAAGACAATGTTTGACATGCCCTTTTTGAATTATCAATCAGCGTGCTAAAGTGCCCTTTTCATGATTGGCTGCCTGCCCTTTTGAAATCCTAGCTGGAACACTGTCAAGGTCATTAAAAAAAACCCTTATCGTCATATAGCTTTCATGTCTAAGAAAATTTGGCAAATCCCATCTGCTGTTTGTATTGTAAGGGCTCCAGAAGTGTACCCCTTAGATTGTAAGGTCGCTTAAAAAATGCCTTTGGTCACCAGGTCAATTTTAAGAAAGTTGACTAAAAGGTTTTGAACATTTGAAAGGTCACAGGTCGTTTTAGATGAGATATCAGATCGCAAAGTCACTTGCCAAACCCCAAAAGGCACTAGTCGGATTTGACCATGTTGGAGCCACATTGTATAATTGTACACACATTAACTTCAATTCATCAGTTTGCTATTTTCATTTAGTTTTATTACAGTGCTTACAGTTTTATATTCACTGAGTTTCTATTTCAGATTACTTCAATATAACTTTGTTGGTGATATATTAATGATACCAGATGATCCCCTTGGTCAGCATGGACCTAAATTAGATTTATTCTTGTCAAAACCATCCAAACAACCATCTCCATTAAGAAAAAGGTAAATATACAGTATCGGGTGATAACAGAAATACCGTAGAGCCTGAAATATTTTGTTGCAAATTGCAAGACATAGGGATCCTACATTCCCTCATTGTCAGCAGCATCAACATATTATAATAATAATAATAATAAATTCTTTATTTAAAGAGGGTAAACTCAGTTAGTTACAATAAACTAATCTTCCCTGAGGCCCTCACATACAAATTACAATACAATCAAAAACAGATATTTACACATAGTTAATTTACAGTCAATTAGTTCAATGTAATATTACTAACATGATAAGGTATAAGGCTGTTCAAGATGCACACGTAGTCAAAAAATCAAATAAAAATAAAAATAAAAGAATATACAAATACATTGTAGAAAACATAATCTTATCAGGACTGTGTTAAGTACTTCTTGATACTTTGTTTAAAAGTATAAGTGTTTTGAGCTTTACGCATTTTGTGTGGTAGTCCATTCCATAACACTGATCCAGAATAAGCAAAAGATTTCTTAAATAGCTCAGCTTTTGGCTTAGGAACTATCAGATTACCTTGAGTGACACCTCTCAAGGAGTAAGGATTATTATCTGATTTCAGATTAAACTTTTGAACTAGGTACATTGGTGCTTCCATACGCATACATTTATATAGAAGTAAATATTTGTGGTATTTGATTCTATTGTCAACTGTCGTCCACCCAAGTTCTTTAAATAAAGGGGCTGAGGGGGATAAAGGATCTGCATCTAGAAATAATCTTGCTGCCTTTTTTTGGACTTTTAAAATTCTTGTTATCCCTTTATTTTTACATTCACCCCAAATAATACAACAGTAGTCAATCAGGGGCAGAATATACCCATTGTAATATGTTTTCCTTGCATTTATATCTAAAAATTTCTTTATTTTAGAAAGAAGGTATATTCTGGATGATATATTAGCACAAACTTGGTCAATTTGATTTCTCCAGTTAAGTGTGCTGTCAATTTTAACACCTAATAATTTTTCACATGAAGAATTTTGTAATACTTTTGAATTTATTATCAAGTTTGGTTGATAAGTCTGAATTGATAGTTTCTGCTTTGTTCCAGTAACCAAACATTTTGTTTTATTTGCATTAATGAACATGTTATTCATGTTGCACCACTCTTCAACCCTGTATAAATCTTCTTGAACATCATCATGTATATTTTCTATGTTTTTCCCTGATTTATGAAGAGTGGTGTCATCAGCATATAGGCCTGTTTCACAATTTTCAATGCATAAGGGAAGGTCGTTTATAAATAGCACAAACAATAGAGGACCAAGTATAGAACCTTGGGGGACACCAAATTTTACATGTTGTTATTCAGAGTAAACATTACAAATGTTTACCTGCTGTTTTCTGTTATTCAGGTAAAACTAACAGTAGCCTCACTAAATCCATAAATTTCAAGCTTTAAGCAAAGAATGTCATGATCTACCAAATCAAAAGCTTTTTTAAAATCTAATAAAATTGCTAGGTTTAAATTACCATCATTCATTTCTTGCAACCATTTGTCAATGATATTAATAAGTGCAGTTTGACAAGAATGCTGCGGCCTGAAACCAGATTGTGTAGGGTGTAAAAGTTTAAGTTTAGATAAGTATTAGGTTAAGTCTGTGGTTAAAGTTTTTTTGAAAGTCAATAACTTTGTCAATCCTTCATAGAATCTTATTAAACATTCACAGAAACTTTTTTATGATTAAGAGACCATCGATAATGCAAAATTATTTTTTTAATTTTATTGGAAAAGATGGCTTCAAGCCGTCAATTCCTTATAGGGTTGGCCAGAGGATCTACTCTTCAAGCCTCTTACGTCAACCATTTTGTATTCTATAGTTCGAAACACCTCAAAAATTCATACTGATTTGATGAGAAGTAGATAAACAAATGAACAGATTGACATTAAACACTGTGTCACACATTTCCCATCTGTTTCTCGTGAAATTATCGTATCTCGAGCTCTCTCTTCCACTGTTTAAGTTTCTTTTACAATCTGGAAAGATCAGTATTTCAAAATTATTCCATATATTTCCATCCTAGTGATGTCATGGTGGTAATTCCACACTTCATAGAAGCAGGGATATCCTATACTCATTAGTATTAAAATCATTCACAGAAATCGGTATTTTTACCCTTGTCCGTCTGTAGGTATGTCCCTACATCCGTCTGTACGTCCCAAAATTGGTTTCCATTCTCCAACTTTAGTTTGCCTCAACCAAATGTTATGAAACGTATACACAATGCTTATTATCACAAAACACAGGTCAAGTTTGAATTTGGGTGGCGTCACTTTTACAGTTCTAGAGTTATGCCCCTTTACAAATGGAAAAATTGCTGAATTTTTCGTTTCCGTTCTCTAACTTTAGTTTGCCTCAAACAAATGTTATGAAACTTAAACACAATGCTTATTACCAAAAAATACAGATCAAGTTTGAATTTGGGTGGCATCTTTTTTACCGTTCTAGAATTATGCCCCTTTACAAATGGAAAAATTGCTGAATTTTTCGTTTAACTTCAGTTTGCCTCAACCAAATGTTATGAAACTTATACACAATACTTATTACCACAATACTCAGATCAAGTACAAATTTGGGTAGCGTCACTTTTACAGTTCTTGAGTTATGTCCCTTTATAACGTTATATGCAAGCGGGGGAATCATCTGTGTCCCATGGACACATTCCCTATTTATTTTATTATGCCCCACCTAGGGGCATTATGTTTTTCGGTTGTGCGTCCATTCGTTTGTCCGTCTGTCCGTCTGTCCCACTTCAGGTAAAAGTTTTTGGTTAAGGTAGTTTTTGATGAAGTTGAAGTCCAATCAACTTGAAACTTAGTACACATTTTTAATGCCAAATTAGAGTTTTGACCACAATTTTTACGGTCCACTGAACATAAAAAATGATAGTGCGAGTGGGGCATCCATGTACTATGGACACATTCTTGTTAAACATAATTATAAATGAAGTTTCTTCATGAAACGAAGAACTATCTTCGTGTGGTACTTAATTAAGCAAAGCAAAAAAAGCTAAAAAAACTGTTATGGAGACATAGGTGGCGTTGTTTTCTTGTCATGAAACTTGCTTGTTATATAATGGATTATGGGTCTCACTAATTAGCAACAAGAAGCATCAAGAAGCGTCAAGAAGCATTAAGAAGAAGAATTTAGCGACAAGAAGACTAATTTAGCGTCAAGAAATCTAAATATTATTTCAAATAAATAGATATAGAAACATGCTTAAAATAGTGTTTTTATGCCCCATTTATGTGCATTATGTTTTTCGGTCTGTGCATCTGTTCGTTCGTTCTTCCGTCTGTCCTGCTTCAGGTTGATGTTTTTAGGTTAAAGTTTTTGGTCAAGGTAGTTTTTGATGAGGTTGAAGTCCAATCAACTTGAAACTTAATACACATGTTCCCTATGATATGATCTTTCCAATTTTAATGCCCAATTAGAGTTTTGACCCAAATTTCACGGTCCACTGAACATAGAAAATGATAGTGCGAGTGGGGCATCCGTGTACTATGGACACATTCTTGTTTTTATATGCATGTATTTTATTATTTTAATTCAATGATAGAACATTTGATCAAGAAAAGAGGTTCTTTTTTTGATACGAGGATATGTTTAAGATGATATATTTTCAGTTAACATCATATATATAGTGTATAAGTGAATAAATGAATGAAAAGGGGGGAGTTCATTTCTTTGTTCCTTAATTTTTAAGCCATTCTTTATGGACACTTAGTATAATCAGATGATGGAAGGATTAACTTTTGTATTAAGAGTAATTGCCATGTGCTTTTATTTACATAATTTATTTATAAAGATTACTTCACTGTTGTGACACCATTATGATTCTGGGATTGTAACAAAATATTTAGATTCATAAATACTTTAAAACATTTTTTTTTACTAAAAATTCACGGCATAGCTACTAAATGCAACAAAATTTGAAAGTTTTTTATAAACAATTTTTAACCGTGGAAGTATTATATTGACAGGAACTCCAACGAAAAATTAGCACATTCCCATCCCACTTATTTCTTTAAGAAAATAAAAGGTTCTGACTCAGTTTGTCAAGTACGTGATAACTCCTTTATGGGGTATCTGTGATGCCGCCTTCGCCTGTTCTTTTAACTGAAGATGGTCTTATCACGTGATTTGGTAGCGATTGTCTTATCTACCTACCAATGTAAATAAACACGGTAACTCCCGTGGTTATTTGTGAATCGCCACATGAATAACAACACCTGTTGCCGTTCAATAAATGAAGAACAAAGCTGAAAAGATCGAAAAAATCGGTCCATATTTCACAGAATGACATAAGAAAATTAACTGCATTCGGAAAGAGGGCAAGCTTATTTTTAGTTTTGTTGAGTATGTTTTAATCATTGGAACTTTGAAATCGGGAAATATCCGATTATGAAAATTACATGATTCTGAAGTAGAGTGTTTGCAGAAAATAATGTGATGCACGTGTAGTGAGCCGGATGGTGCCTTAGTTACTCAAATTTTAAGTTAAAGATTGTAAACTGTTATCGAGTGCAACACAAATATTTATGGTTTTCTCTATCGTAAAATATCGTAAAATGTTATTAACTTATTTATCAAATATGTTTTAAAGACTAAAAGAGGTTAATAATTACACGCATGTGATGACCTCTACATAGCAATATCAGGTTACGAGACATGCAGATGAATTGCTACACCTTTTATAATTAATCCAAAGTTGTAAACAACCTTAAACATTCAACCTAGTCCGAGATTACTCTGACGTCTGACAGATTTATTTTTACGGATGGCTTTAAATATTTCTGGATGCATTTAAAGAACGATCACCATGATGATGGGCCTTAAGCAGTTTAATTTTCTTTTTTATCATGGAAACCAAATTAGAATTTATTTATGTGTTTAAAAGCTTAACAGTTCTGAAACATCTTACACCGTATGCTAAGCAATTTTTTTTTATGTTTCTTGTTTAATTGCATGAAATATTTGCCATTGGACTTTCAGTAAACAATAAATCAAAATATTTGATATTTTTTCGGATCAAAGCTCTTTAACCCCGTCCAACCACCCCCACCCCCCCCCCCGGCCAAATTTTCAGTGGATTAAATTTTTGTTGGAAATTCTTTCATTAAACACTTCCACTTCAGTAAAGCCTAACATGTATATAACAGTTACGCGTGTTTAGCCAACGGCCCTCTCATGAATAAAAATCTTACTTTTTTAAAATTGATTGTAACTTAAACTGAAATCTTTATGGCTTGTGAGTATTTTTACTCTTCAGATTTTTTTATGTTTGTTTTTTTAATCGGTGAAAACAGTCGCGGGGATTTCGTTTCTTTTCTTTTTATTTGTTATTAAGCAGCAAAACCCGTAAAAACTGACATTATATTTGTAATTCACATGGTCAGTAAATGTCATTTCCTTGACAATTAAGTACACATCCGGTTATTTCGGTATGTTCCGTAATTATGATCATTCACGAGGATCCAAAAATTTGATCGGAACCCATGCATCCATAAGACATGTCGAGTTAATTAACAGATACTTAACGATTTTGCGGCATAGCACTATAAACGTTTGAAGTCCACTTGTTGGAGTTCCTGTCAATATAATACTTCCATGCTTTAACTAATTGACTTTTTTTTATAAATTTATTGTTTTGATAGTATATAAACTTTCTTGTTGCTAATTTTTTCTTGTCGCTTCTTGACGCTTCTTGTCGCTAATTAGTGAGACCGTGAATTATAGTCATTTTGTACACTTACCATTTCGTACCTCATTGAATATTTATATGTATGCAATTTCGTTCCTCATGTAATATTTATATTTATTAAGTGATATGAGCAATCAGTCCTAATACGGATTATTCAACATGTGTAATACTGTTGACTTCACCCTGTTTACATAAATCATGAGTAGATACATGTATTGCTTTTCAGCCTAGTCCAATACGGGAAAAAGGCTGAAAAGCAATACAGGATTCCAGTGGCAAATTTTCCCTTCCAAATTATGTTGGACGTATTTTAACCTGGAATAGACATATCTAAAAGAAATTGGAAGACACATTTTTCAATTTTGATGACAAGAAAATTTTAAGTATGATCCGTTTTTGTTACGATTTGCGGAAACATTCCACAATCTTTTCAAGTAGAATTTTCAATTTATTATCATTTTTTTCATTTCGGTCAACAACAAAAAAACATAATGTCTGAATATTCTTCCCAAGTACTTTATGTTTGCTAGATAAATAGAATTGCATTAGCATAGATTAAGTACCTGGACTAGAAGTCAGAAATCTCAACAATATAATTGACAAAACAATTTGTCGTGACTGGGAAGAGGCAAGTTCAAATGTGATTTACTGTACCTACAAATTATGTATTTAACAGGAAGTTTCTTGGTTTTTTAATCGCAAATTTGTATCATATAATAAAAGTCTTATGAATTGGCTGTTTCTATATCGGCCCTTTTATAGGTTCATGATCATATGTATTGGCCCTCAACCCTTCGAGTCTCGGGTCAAATAAGCTAATATAACCTTGATTCTATAACGGGATCAATACAGAAACAGGCAGTATTAAAGTATTGAGAAATTTTTAGGGAGCCCAGGGGTGTTGAAATATTCATAGCTTTTGGAAGGGGTCATGAATTTATTTTCCTTCAAGGTTGGACTTGAAAAAATAAGAGAAATTCCAATTTTTTCTTCCAGGTCCCCCCAAATGTAATAAAATGAGCAGTCTCTTAGATAATAAGTATATTTATCAATATTCATTAAACCTTGATCTTTTTGTCTCCCATGTGTCGTAGTCTCAGAATTCAAGACATAATAATTACAATCCAAAGGCAGCGACGGCATAAACTATTTGTATATACAGCTATATATTTCAGAAGGTGGAAGACCTGGATGCTTCATACCTTGTATGCAAATACCTTATATCACGAAGTTTCCTGTCTGTCATATGTCTATTGCATTTTCATGGTTAAGCAACTGTTTGAATATTTTTAGTCCCCCATCTACGAAGTTAAGGTTTGCATTCCGTCCGACTGTCAGACTGTCCATCCTTCAGTCCAGGAAATAATTTTTGATATTGAATTGATATTTGTTATATAGTTTTATCATGACCAGTAACAGATCAAGTTTGAATTTTGTTCGGTTCGGTTGATTTTTTTGCAGCGTTATGGTTCACGCATCTTATCAAGCCAAGGGTTCCGATCCAGTCCCCTCCTCTCCATCCTTGGCGGATTAAGCCAACATTTTAGATTACAATGCTGCACCATCTACTAGTAGATAAAAGTCACGCTCATTCCTACTACATCATTCTTGACCAATGGTAACACTTAAATCTTTTCAGTGTGGAGATGTTAAAATGGTTGTGTCAAGTTTTTACAAATTTTGTGAAGCAGGAACCGAAAATATACGTTAACATTCCAACATTTGCGCGAAAAAAAAAACCCAAGAAATCCAATTAGTTGATTAAGAACTTTAAAATTGTCACTAAATATCGTTTTGGGGGTAAAGACTTGTTGTGCACAATTAGCATGTGGCAATTGTTTATTTACATTTTCTACATTTACACATGATCATCTTAAAGGCGCTTAAAGATGCAGCCAGTTACAACTGCGACCAATGAAAATCATAACCTGGTGGATCCAAAATTCTATCTTAATCCGCCAAGGACGGAGAAGATTGGACTGGATCTTAACCCTTTGGCTATCGAAGATGTGGTTCAAGCAAATAATCAGTTTTCCACACTTTTTTGGTTATGCATGAAGATATTGATTTGATATTTGGAATATATATAGTTTTACCATAACAAGGTACAGATCAAGTTTGAATTTTGTTTGGTTTGGAGGATTTGCAAGAGTTATGGTCCTCTGACTTATAGAAATCATGCAAATGATCAGTTTTCCACACTTTTTTTCCATCATGCTTGAAGATTTTGATTTGATATTCATTATATAGTTTAACACCATGACAAATTATAGATTAAGTTAGTTGTTCCAGTACAATGAATTTTTAACTGGTAGGGGATTATGAATTGCCATGCAATACTCTCAGAATTCTTGTTTTAGTTGTTTTGTCGCTGTGCCACTATATTTGGTATATATCATGGACTGATTGTTAGGTAGACATGTCTGTCTGGCAAGTTTTCATGGTTTTGTCCATTTATCAAATACTGTAAGCCATTGGTCAACTATATTTGTTTTGTACATGTCTGTCTGGTAAGGTTAATCAGACCTTGACCTCATTTTCATGGTTCAATGTTAAATTTTGGCAATCAGGTCTGTTTCTCTATCCCTTTGGCTTACAGTATCTGAGTATATGCAATAGGCCAACTTTATTTGCCGTATGGTATGAAATTTAATTTAATCAAGTAAAGCAGGTGAGACATTTCAGCATGTGCACTCTTGTTGTCATTTTAGTTGTATTTCATTAAGTTAGTTATTTGTGAGTATAAATAAAGTTGCCTTCACAAAGACTTTTAAGAATCTGACCTTGTCCACCATATTGAAATTCAAAATATTTCACAGTGGCTAGCTTAACTGTAGATCAAGACACTTTAATTGAATTTATTACTACACTGTTTTTATTACATTTATTTTCTATGTATAAAGACTATCAAAAGATACCCAAAAAAATTGAAACATTGGCCGTTTTTTCCCTCAGAGCTCATTAGCTCTTTGATTTACAATTTTTACTGATGAATGGACTTATTTTTAGCAGTTAACCTTTAAATACAGTTTTATTAAAAACTTTCACAAATGCTTTTTTATGAGTAAGAGAACATCGATAATGCAAAATTATATTTTTTGGGGATTTTTAAGACATCAATAACTTTGTCAAACCTTGATAAAATGGTTTGAAACTTCAGCTTCTTCAAGATTAAGAAATAGTATCAGAGGAAAAAAAATTATTTTGTAGGAAAACATTTCCTTATTTTACTGATATAACACATTTACACTGACAGCACCAATTGCAGGTGAGATGCAGGGTTCTGCTGAACCCTTTACAATATTTTTTTAATAAGCAGCCTACAGTTAGCTGTATAATAAATTTGATAAACTGTCTTAGTACTACTCACCATACCTGACCTAAATGACACAAAAAAAAAAAATAGCTAACCTATCAGGGCAATTCTGTCAAATTATTAATGACCCACCTTCCAGCCATTGGTCAGGCTGCCTACCTTAAATACATACAGCTTAAATAAATTAGTCTGAGCATGTGCTGTAAGATATTTTTTGAAGTCTGTAGTAAGAAAAATTTATTATAAAAAAGTTGAAGGTATGAAAAAACTTGAACAGATTCAGAAGTTTGTGGACAATAAAAAACTAAGAATAAGAACAATTTGTATTATCTTTAAAGTACTGGAAACAAGTATTTTTTAAAGGTTTACGGATCTGGTGGCAGTTCATATAAAATATATTAGGAATTTATTAAAAGAATTGAAAATTATGACATTTAAACTGTCATGTTCTATCTTGTTCATTTTTTTTTTGTATTATTTTTTTGCTGCCCATTTGTATGTTCTGTCTTGTTCACGTAATTTGTTTTAATTGTTTATTTTTAATTATTTCAGACATTTATCACCTAAAGGTGCTACGGGTCATCAGAATATGTGGAATCAACCACCCCCTCCATTACAACAATATCCTACACCATTAATGGGCATGCAACCTTCATTGTTAGGACCCCGACCTAACACAAATTGGCAGCAATTAAATCATTATCAGGGACAAACTCAAGGACAGAATAACAACTTTCCTTGGAATAATCAGGGACAAGTTCAAAACCAATTTCAAACATGGAATCAAGGAACTTGTCAAAACAATCCAAGATTCCAAGGACAAAACTTGCAAGGAGTAGGACAAACCATGCCAGGTCAGAACAGATTTCCTAATCAATCCCCCAAGAAAAAGAAGGGTGTGTGCAATCAAAGACAGACAGAAAAACAATCAAGGCCTCTTAGGACCAAAGAGAAAACACAAGAAGTTCTCAAGAATTTAAAAGATATTTTTCCAGATTCGGAATCTAAAATTTTGGAAGTGATTGATAATCATCCCTCAGAAACAGATTTAACAAGACTGTCAAATTACGTGATGAATGCATTGGATAAATGATCAATCTAATTCCGGATTCGTTACTTTTATATATATCCATTTTTTTTCATATTTCAAACTTGATGAAATCTGTGATAAGACCATATAAAATTAAAGAGTAACTGTTCATGCTCACTGTTTTGAAAGTTCTGCCTTCCTTGATTTTATTTTTGTTATTTTCCAAAATTTATGGTGATTTGTTTGGTATTTTATTTTTCATATGAATACGAGAGGAAATATATGACATGTCTGATAGATTATCTCTACATGCCTTGATAAAGATAATGATAGTTTCATGCAAATGCAAGGTTTATTTAAAAATAAAAATGTATGCTATTTTACTGGGCGCATTGCATTTGCGCCAATTTTTACAAAATCTTATCTTTCATTTGCGCCACAAGGTTATATTTCATTTGCGCCAAAAAATAAAAACTACATTTGCGCCATTTTACAGGTAACATATAACGGAAAAGTTTAAAATATTCATTGCTACTTGGTATATAAGATTTTCTCCCTGGGTAACTAAGTAAGTTAATACTCATTTCTAATATAAAACTGAGAGTCACTTAGGTTTAAAACTATATAGTGTTCACATGCTTGAGGTGTCAAGATGGACATTGTCAATTCTGAGACTAACAGGCAGTTAGTTTTCTCAATTGGATTGTTTCATATTTTTCATGTCGGGCTGTTTATAGCCGACTATACAGTATGGGGATTTCTCATTTTTGAAGGCCGTTTTTGTCTCATTGGCAATCATACCACACCTCCTTTTTTTATATAGAGGAAATAAGTCTGTTATTTTTTTATGACCACATATAGGTTATCCAGTGTACATGAGTAGTTCTGAGCCGTTGCTTACAAGTCTTGTGTCGGAAACAAACTTTTGGTTTTACTCCAGGGTATAGTGATTTCTTTTAGGTTTTATGATCTCGTTAATACCGGTATATAACAGAACTGTGTTTTAACATTATTATGAAAAGTTTCTCATTAAGAACGTATCAGTGTATAGTGCTTTCATTATAGTTACAATGACTGATTTTGGAGGAATAAGTCTTTTAAATCTCCTTTGAAAAAAACTATTTTTGTCTCGCTTGATGGAACCACTAGTGGTAAGTCAATTATATTTGGTATGCAGTTGTATGGTATTGGCACATCTCATTACCATGGAGATTATTTGGCCCTGCTCCCTCAGTTATGGTCTATTGACTTTGAAACTTGCTTAGTTTTAGTGTATTAGTTTGTGATTAGGTCAGTTTATTGGGAACCACTAGTGGTAAGTTATTGATAATTGGTAAGCAGTTGTATAAGCATTGGCATATCTCATTTCCATGGAGATTATTTGGCCCCGCCCCCTCACTCATGGTCTATTGACTGAAATTTTTGCTTAGTTTTCATGTATTAGTTTGTGATTAGGTCAGTTTATAGGGAACCACTAGTGGTAAGTTAATGATAATTGGTATGCATTTGTATAAGCATTTGCATATCTCATTTCCATGGAGATTATTTGGCCCCGCCCCCTCAGTCATGGTCTATTGACTTTGAAATTTTTGCTTAGTTTTCATGTATTAGTTTGTGATTAGGTCAGTTTATGGGGAACCACTTGTGGTAAGTTAATGATAATTGGTATGTAGTTGTATAAGCATTGGCATATTTCATTTCCATGGAGATTATTTGGCCCTGCCCCCTCAGTCATAGTCTATTGACTTTGAAACTTTCACTTAGTTATCATGTATTAGTTTGTGATTAGGTCGGTTATGGGGAACCACTAGTGGTAGGTCAATGATATTTGGTATGCAGTTGTATTAGCATTGGCACATCTCATTACCATGGAGATTATTTGACCCCACCCCCTCAGTTATGGTTTATTGACTTTGAAATTTTGCTTAGTTTACATGTATTAGTTTGTGTTTAGGTTTGTTTAAAGGGAACTTCTTATGACAAGTCAATGGTATTTGGTATGCAGTTGTATTAGCATTGGCACATCTCATTTCCATGGAGATTGTTTAGCCATGTACCTTCAGTCATGGTTCATTGACTTTGAATATTTGCAAAACTTACATGTTAAAGTGTTGCTATTTTAATTTCAACATTTGCATTATTGAAATTACAAAAAAACGAGACATATCTCTGTGATAACAGTTTATTTATACTATTTACCTGTATTATTGGCACAAATGAAATGTTTTATTTGGGGCAAATGAAATATGGTTTGTGGTGCAAATGAAAGATTATTTTGGCGCAAATGAAATGCAAATTGGCGCAAAAGCAAAGCCCTGGTATAACTGTCATAGTCACAAAAATTACTTTGAAATTATTGATTTATTTTCTAGCTGGGGAATGCAAGAATTTACTTTTTAAGCTTATTTGGCCTAGCTGTTACATTAAGGTAAGGCTATTCCAGAATTAAACACACAGGGGTGTGGGAGGCATTTATTTTTTACCCCAATCATGGATAATATACAACTTTCATTTTACTATAAATAATTCTTAAAGAAAATTTTAAGGAAAATGCAACCACCCACAGATAATTAATTCCAGTGCCTCCACAATCAATTTTTGAACAGCCTTAATACAAGTTCAACTATCAAGTAGGTTGTTTTTTTTTAATTTTTCTTTCAATTTTTTTAGAATTTTGTATAAAGATAGATTTCTTGTCTGCTAATTCAAAGCTCAGTGATGTTATATTCCAAACTTTTTATGACTATATGTAGTATGGCATTATTAGATATTCATGACAATGCATAAACAACTGCTTGCAGAGTTCTTGAAAAATTTAGAAAATCTGGTGGTCCTCACTATTATTTCTATTGCAAAATTCCAAAATTGTGTTGGTCCTTTGCAAACTTTTGGTGGTCAAAACCTTTTGACTACCAGTACAACTTTTAGAGAACTCTGTTATTGGAAGAGCGGAGTAAGTCATGCATAAAGATTAAAACTGTTTTAAGTTTAAAATTGAGAGTAATTTAGGTCAGTTCCATCTGAACATATAAATGATACATAGATGACGATTTCTAAATGAAATACATGTACCGTTAGTTGTTCATTAGAGCAATTTTTTTACTTTTTATAATTCATATTTCCTGGACAAAGACATATAAGATTTAAAACCATTCTATTTAAACAGTCATTATGTTCATTTTGATGAAAACCCACAAAATTGGAACAAATAAATAAATTATTTTCAATGTTTTTCAAAGAAGAAAAAAAACTTTTACAGCTGAATAATTTGAATTTGTACTTCATGCATAGAATTAAAGTTTACGTGTTTGTTAAATGAAGCCTGAATTTCATATCACATTTATATTAGCAGATATAAATATGGAAACAAATTGGCCAGACAGGTGTTTCAGCCAGTCTTTTGATATCTTGTTCAATGATTTTACTAGCAAATAAAAAGTATTTTTTATTCTTTCAGTAGGTCACAAGTAAAGGTAGCATTGATTTATGGTCCATCTAGAGAAAAAACCAAACTAAACTGCATTGTTATTTGTAGACACATATTTACTGTTACTTGTTGTCAGTAATTTGTGTTGCCTTCAGCTGATAGTTTAACTTTTATCTGTCAAAAATTATTTAATCAAATTTAGCTGCTTTGTTTTTGTATCTTTGGTATCACTAGATCTTAACAAAGTTTAATTGAAAAAAATATTTGAATAGGTCAAAATTGAAATAGATATAATTAAATAAAAGTGTTATACATTAACTTTGATTACTACTGTGGTAGACCTTTAATATGATCAAATGCAGTTGTGTCTTGATAACATATTACCCAGTTAATACAGTCAATTTTCCATTAACCATGTAATCCAAATGTTAAACAATATGATCAAATTTACAGGAACATCATGAAATTTTTATATCATGTTCCTGATATGACATTTTACAAATTTTATTTCACATTTTCAATATGGGATTGTTAGTATATCACTGAGTAATCACACTTGTCATACTGCTGAGGAACCTGTCATGTCAAAACAAACAAATAAAGGCCACAATATTATAATTTAAAAAAAAATTCCTGTGACAGCACTATTTTGCTTGTTCAAATATAAAGAATAACTCTACTGTATGTATTTACTTCCCTATGTCAATCATTGATTTTACTGTTGCAAATTGAGTTTTGCAGTGACTTATAAGTTGAGCCAGTAAATGGATATCTGTAATATTTCATATCGAAACTGACATAATCCCATTCTTATATTATACAATTGCTGCGTCTGCTGTAAAACGAATTTTTATATAAGGGAAATATCATCTGTGATTGTGCAGAGAATACCGGCAGGTTAAGTTTGTATTTTTAACACATGAATTCACAGCCTTTGCAGACATCTTATGAACAATATAAAATTCAAGCATTAAAGTTGTATTGTTGAAATACATTGTCATATATTGGCAGCTATATAATTTCATGTTATAAGATATTTGATCGCTTTTTTTAAGTGATGTATAGAATTAAGTACATTAATGACCTAACTAGGTTGATAAAAGTATTTCAAAATCATATGATGTTTATTATTTTTATACTTTATACATGTACTGGGTAGATTTACACTTTCTCTGAACTGTAAGGTATTTTATGTTTAATGAATATTCTATGAGATTTTTAGTAGAAGAAGGTTCAAATTGAATGTTAATTCTAATCTTTGAAAAAACGTAGTTTTTTATACATATATTTGTTATTGAAAAACATTGATGGCATGTAAAAACCACTTAGAAATATAAATCTGAGAGATGCATTCTTATAAATGAATACTGTTGAGTATGTTCAAAGTTTTAATTTGATATACTGTTCATTCTCACAAACCAGGTTTTTCATAGATGATCACAAAATTGAACTTCTGTGTGAATATCTGTTTTGGCTAGGGGTGTGTTGAACATTAATTCTCACACAGAGAACCATTTTTCACTGTTTTAATGTCATTACTTGGCTGTAGTCATTTACTGCTCTGATGTCTGACAGTCTTTCCAAGGAATTGTGCCTTGGGACATCAGGAGGCAGTCCATATAGAAAACATGGAAATTGCAGACTAGACTTTGGGGCGACAAGTTTGTCTGGAAGTTGTAAAAGATAGATCTATTTTCAAGTAGATAAATCATAACTCATTCGATTCATAATTACAATTCTTCACCTATTTATACCTTGTAATCAAGTTGTATCCCTATGTAGCATTAACCCTCTATTTTTTGCTATTTCCTTTCACTTTGAACAAGTTTTCATGTGACTGCTTTATATCATTCTGTTTGATAGAATCTTTAAAGTGAAATTTATGCATATCACCCTGGTAACATGCATTTATATTTACAAGATTTGCCTTTTCATCCAATCTATCGTTTGCAAACATCGCTCATGCAAATAAGAAACTTATTTGCATTAATAAGCTTGCATGATAACAAGTACTGTGCAGAGATAACAAGAGATAGCAATATCTTAAAGAAAGAAAAAATATATCAACGAAATTAATGTTTGTCAGAAATAAAGCTTTCTTTTGTGCAACAGGGGACTAGTACATAAATAAAAGACGGAGACTTGCCACCTGAAATTTAGGGAGGGCAATTTCCATGTTTTCTATATGAGCTGCACTCTGGTGTCCCACAGCACCAGCAAGTCCTAAAAAAATGTTGTCAGACATTGAAGCAATCTTGGACTACATAACATGCTACAGTGGATACTATAAAACATCACCGTTGTTTTTACTCTGATTTATCATGTAGATTAGCAAGCTCATAGACAAACTGGTACATTATCTCTTATTGAAAAACAGAAGTGGTTATTATCCATGAAATTTGCTTTAAAAAAAAAAAGAAAAAAAAGTGGAGCATGCAATGCATACTATTTTTGCCCAGATATTTTATAACATCAAGTGCATCAGTTGAAAGTAAAATGCAAAATTATTGAAATTTGTATAATTGGTACTGTAATGTATAAATTAAACAGTTTATGTTAGAAAAATACACTTGATGTTTATGAAACTCTGGAATGAAATATAATGCTTTGTAATCTCAACATACTGTGGATTTTCGTTGGGTTACTTAATTTTGTGGATTTCATTGGTAATTGGGAACTACAATTTATCATTTCAATAAAATATAGATTTACAATTGGCTTAAGTGCAGAATTTGTTGAAACTTCAAAAATAAGAATCTACAAAATTAGATTTTTGCCTAAATCCACACAAATTTGTGTCAATGAAACATAGAGAATCTACAGTATGTCTCAATGCAGAAAGATTTTCTGGAATGGTTGGAAGTAGTTTTAATTTCAACAAACTTATAACGAACATTTTACAGATAATAATAAAAAATATCTCACCACATGAGATAAAGCACAATTTTCTCTAGGAATTTGCAAATCTGTTAGTTGTCCTGGAGTAGAAGCATAGGTAACAATTCTAAGGGTCAATTGCCCTGTGAAAAGAAATTTTGTATACACAAACAACAATGTCTTATTGATGCACATTGATTCCACATTCAATTTTGCCAATTTGAGTAATTTCTTCAATATTAGGGCTTATCATAACCCAAATCATATCTCATGAATGCAAACCTTGATGTGTGAACATTCTTGTCGATAGTATTTGCTAAGTCAAATTTTACCATGTCTACTATACACAATTACATTGCAACAGACATTGGTAAAAATTTTATTTGACTATCAAATTTGGTTGTACATGGGAATATTGGTATATGTACATGTATAATGCTAAACTATGTTTTGCAGATAAACACCATTTAATAGGTTACTTTCCATCAAATTGCTTCATAGAAAGAATTTTTTATCAACTCTTAGTCATAGTTATTTGGATATTTATTAATCCAAATGCTTTATTCAGATTTGAGTATGTTGATGTAAATATGAAAAAGGTTTTCTAGTCCTTCCATTTTCTTTCAAGAGAATGCCTATTACTTTCCACTCTATCTAGTGAATAAGATGATGTAATCTAATAGAGTAATGGAGCACATACATTTAAGAGAATAAAGAAGACCATTAATGCAATTTTTGATATTCTTACACTGAAGAGTAAGACTTCTTCAGTAAGGTGTTGTATGTTCACTCACCAGACAGTTTTTGTCTCACATGAGATGAAGTAGACTTATGCTTGCTGTTTCAGACATCAGTGTTGATGCAAGGCATCAGCAATTGTTTAAGTTTGTTATTAGTTCCGTTAAGATGAATCATAAATGGTGAGTCCATTTTATTTGATATGCAGTTCTACATGGATTGGGTGGGACATTTTATTTCCATGGAGATTATGTTGCCAAACACTCAATCATTTTCCATTGACTTTGATACTTATACATGATCGGACATATATAGTTCACATGTCTATGTTTATGATTAGGTCAATCTAAGGGGAACCACAACCACTAATGATAAGACCATGATATTCTGTATGGAGTTCCACTGTTCATTGACTTTAAAACTTGTTTGCATAGTTTGCATATTCAAGTTTGTGAAATGGTCATTTTATCTTTTAATACTAAATAGCTAATTTATATTGTTTCTAGCCCATGAAGTACTAAAACCACTTCCCAGGAAATATGGAGATCTTAAGTTTTCCTTGATTCTGGATGTTTTTTCTTTCATTTTGCCAAGTGTACAACTAGAAAGCTCAAAATTATAAAATTCTGACAAGTACTGGTAAACAGTTTTCAGTGATAGGTACTGTATGATTAGTTAGTTGAATATATACTCATGGACAAAAGAAAAGTTACACAAGGTAAAATACACAAAATAAATTCTGCAAATCAATCTATATATTTTTGACAAGAAACCAATAAAACTGATGTCCATAGTTTTAAATGCAAGCAAAGTTGTTTACTTGGTTAAAATCTTGTCATCATCAAAAAGCTGGAAAACTCAAATTTTGTGCAAGTATCTCGAATGAAAGTAAATTTTCATTGGATTATCTTTTGAAGTTTATTGAGTATACTGTAAAATCAGAAGAAGACCTTCAAATGTTGGACTAACATGATGAAATAACTCCACACTGCCAGTTAGGGAGAGGCATAATGCCTGTTTTAAAGGGGAAATATTGTTCAGTGCTTTTGATGTAAAGAAGTCCATTGTATTTGTGTAACTTGAGATCAAGTTCCGCTCAAAGATTCAAATGTTAATTGCACTCAAAATTTTGTGAATGGGGTCTGTGACGTTTCGAAAGCCCAACAGTCTACCCCACTGCTGGAAAAGAACAGGGATGGGTTCAAACATGATGCACACTAGGATTGAATTATGCATTATTAAACCTCCTGCTTTTTCTAATAGTATTTTTGTTTGTTTTACAATTAATAGAAGTTGAGTTTACCATGTACTAATATTTGTTATGAACTCTCTCTTGTGGAACAAAATGTACATCACATCATGATTCTTGCTTTTGTAAGGTTTATTCAACTATCTGAAGAATTTTCATATACATCCATGTGGTGGTAATGATTGGTTTTATTTTTATACTATGTATTGAATATCAAAAACTGCAATGTTTCTTTTGTCTAAGAATAAATTAACATTTAAATCTGGTCAAATTATCCATTGATTTTCAAAACTGTATTCACTTTTAAGTGCTTATAATATTTACTTTTCGTGGACTTTTTTTAAATGAAAAATGAAATAAAGTGCTGATATAAAACATATTATATGTAGTCTGGTGTTTTTCTATGTTAAAAGTGATTGGGTTCTGCCTGTTTCCAAGTGGTATAACAGTACGCTAATATTTCCCTGGGAGAACTGTTCTTTTAATGAAGAAGGCCATGAAGTTTTAGCTTAGAGTGATTGATTGTTGTTTGTTTAATACCCAGTAACTAATAGTTCATACATATTCAGAACAAAAGCAAATTAACAAGGAAGAAAAAGTAAGGCTCTGTAAAACTTGTCAATGAGGATGACAGGCAGGAAATTTGGACTGCCACTGGAAAATATGGGCATGTTGGATTGATGCAGAAATTTTGGCTATCCTCAGACCAATCAGAGTTGTTGTTGCTAGGGTAATTTATATTCAGGGAACAAAAGCTCTATAGCTTCACAATGTGAGAGATTAGTACCCTTCAGATGGAGAAACTGTTTTTTGTTTTGGCCAAGGTGTGAATACCCCCTTGGTATCTTTTTTTCCTCATTTTTAAATGACACATCATAAATGTTAATGAAAATGTTTGTCATTTTAGGGTAGCTTTGTACCCCAGTTATAACTGGAAAGTATTTTAGTAAGAGGTTAAAAATTGGAAAATGTCAGAAATTTTAGAAAAGAACAAGTCTATAGAAACATATAGTCAGGCTTGTTCCCAGTATATATTATACCACACAGTAATGACACAAGTACCATGCAAACTCAAGTTATCATATTGACATTTTGCACCATAGCCTTTGTTATAAAGACATCTTTCTAATTCATACATACACACAAATACAGAAGTAGTATAAATATCTTTGAAATTAACAAAGTAAAAAAGGACAGTGTGCTTAGCACCATGTTTGTCATCCAATAAAAAAAACACTTACTTGTCTTGTACTGATCACTTAGTTATTTGTTGCATCACCTTATTTTCCAGAACGATTAAAATTGTCTACTGGATGCAATTTTGATTTCGTTTCCCTTTATATTTCAGAAGGTAGAAGATCTGGATACCTTGTATGTAGATGCCTTCTATTATGCTGTTTCTGTCTGTCCTATAACCATTGTTATATGACCTCATTTTAACCGTTCAGCGACTTCTTAAAAAAACTTTTTTTTTTGGTCATGGGAATTTCTCACTTGTTATCAGTAATAGGATGATAATATTTGGTCTATGGAATTCTTGCAAGGTCTACATGTCCGTCAGACAGGGTTCACCTGACCTCAACCTCATTTCATGGATCTGTATTTAAGGTTAAAGTTACAGGATTAGGTCTGTTTCTCAGCAGGTCAGCTATATTTGGTGTATGGAATGATTGCAAGGTGTAAGGTTCATGTCTGTCTGGTATGTATCATCTAACCTTGATCTCATTTTCATGATTCATTGATCAATGTTAAGTTTTTATGATTTGGTCGATTTCTCTATAAGCAAAGCAATAGGTCAACTTTATATGGTGTATGGAGTGATTACAAGGTGTACATGTACGTATGGCAGGCAATGGCGGATCCAGAAATTTTCATAAGTGGGGGCCCACTGACTGCCTAAGAGGGGGCCCGCTCCAGTCATGCTTCAGTAATTTCCTATATAATCAACCAAATTTTTCCCACAAAAGGGGAGGGGGGCCCAGGCCCCCCCTAAATCCGCCCCTGGCAGGTATCATCTGACCTTGACCTTATTTTCATGCTTCACTGGTTAATGTTTAAGTTTCCTTAGTAGGGTCCTCATCTTAAATACTATATGCAATAGGTCAACTATATTTGATGTATGGAATGATTGTAAGGTGTACATATCTGTCTGGCAGGGTTCATCAGACCTTGACCTGATTTACATGGATCATTGATAATGATAAGTTTATGTGTTATTCATAGTAAAACCTTTATCTAAAAGACTTTTAACATAAAATCAAACCTGATCGGTAAAGTCAAGACATTTTAGTGAGCGCACTCGTCTTGAAAAGGCCACATATTATATTATTTCTAAACATTATGTGCAAATCTACAGAAGTACTCAAAAACTCTTTTTCTTGGGCCGAAAATGAGTCTTTAAAATGCCCCTACTCCTCTGGAAAAGAGGCTCTGATAAAATATGAAGGTACTATTCAGAGGACAAGAAATCCTATTCTAATAAAATGGTCCCTAAAATCCCATTTTTCTGATTATTAGTCCCCTACCGACGAAGTTGGAGGGGACTTTAGGTTTGCACTCCGTCCGCCTGTCTGTCTGTCCGTCTGTCTGTCCTTCTGTCAGTCCGGCAAATCAGTTTTCCACACTTTTTTTCTTCATGCTTAAAGATATTGATTTGATATTTGGTATATTGTTTGATCATAACAAGTTACAGATCAAGTTTGAATTTTGTTCCGGTCTGATAATTTTGTGTAGAGTTATAGTCCTTGGACTTAAAAAATTCACTCAAATATTCAGTTTTCCGCACTTTTTTTTGTCATTCTTGAAGATATTGATTTAATAATTGGTACATTGTTTTATCATGACAAGTTACAGATCAAGTTCAAATTTTGTTCCGGTCTGATGATTTTTTGCAGAGTTATAGTCCTTGGACTTAGAAAATTCACTCAAATAATCAGTTTTCCACACTTTTTTCGTCATGCTTGAAGATATTGATTTGATAACTGGTATATAGTTTTATCATGACAAGTTACAGACCAAGTTTGAATTTCGTTTCGGTTTGATGATTTTTTGCAGAGTTATGGTCCTTGGACTTAGAAATTCACTTAAATTATCAGTTTTCCACTCTTTTTTTGGTCATGCTTGGAGATATTGACTTGATATTTGTTGTATAGTTTACACAATGACAAGTTAGCATTTTGTTCCAGTACAATTAATTTTTAACCAGTAGGGGACTATGTATTACCATGCAATACTCTCAGAATGCTTGTTGAACTCAGTAATTCAATGGTTGTAGTCTGTTGCTTTCTGTCATTGTTAGTTCTTTCCATATATTGTTTAGCATTATTCAGGCCATTGGTTTTCTCATCAAATTGTTTTATAGTTTGCCATGTCAGGGCCTTTTAATTACTAAACGGTATGGGTTTTGTTCATTGTTGAATTCTGTATGGTGACCTATAGTTGCTCAAAAACACATCATTTGGTATCTGATTGAGAGTTGTCTCATTGGCAATCATATACATGTACCACATTTTATATTGATTATTAAGTTTATTGGTAGGCAATAATAATAGAATATAAAAAAAAATCTTGCTTTATCTCACCTTGCCCATTGTCATCCAAAAGGTATGCAATTTACATTTTCATCATCTCCTTTCACATTGCTAATTTGAACCTAACTTGGCAGGAATAATAAATGAAAAGTGAACTGTATAAAATCTCTTAATTTCTGATCAGATGAAAAACATGGGTGACAGGGGCAAGTTTAATTTTCATTAATCTACTCGGATGAAGCTAAGCTCCTGTTGTTATAAATGGGAACTTAAACAAGATGACCAGATGACCTGTATAGATTGCCCTACTTATTCAATCTTATAAAAAAGTGAGATGAAAGATACCAAAAGGGATAGTCAAACTCACAAGTTAAAAACAAACTTGACAATGCCAGGAAAAAACAAACGAAAAATGACAAAAGACAAGCAACAGTCTATAAAACACAATAAAGAAAACTAAACACTGAGCAACACTAACCCACCAAAAACTGGGGTGATCTCAGGTAAAGGTAATAAGTACATCCCACCAAAAACTGGGGTGATCTCAGGTAAAGGTAATAAGTATATCCCACCAAAAACTGGGGTGATCTCAGGTAAAGGTAATAAGTATAACCCACCAAAAACTGGGGTGATCTCTGGTAAAGGTAATACGTATATCCCACTAAAAACTGGGGTGATCTCTGGTAAAGGTAATAAGTATAACCCACCAAAAACTGGGGTGACCTCAGGTAAAGATAATAAGTATATCCCACCAAAAACTGGGGTGATCTCAGGTAAAGGTAATAAGTATAACCCACCAAAAACTGGGGTGACCTCAGGTAAAGGTAATAAGTATATCCCACCAAAAACTGGGGTGATCTCAGGTAAAGGTAATAAGTATAACCCACCAAAAACTGGGGTGATCTCTGGTAAAGGTAATACGTATATCCCACTAAAAACTGGGGTGATCTCAGGTAAAGGTAATAAGTATATCCCACCAAAAACTCGGGTGATCTCTGGTAAAGGTAATAAGTATATCCCACCAAAAACTGGGGTGATCTCAGATAAAGGTAATAAATATAACCCTCCAAAAACTGGGGTGACCTCAGGTAAAGGTAATAAGTATATCCCACCAAAAACTGGGGTGATCTCAGGTAAAGGTAATAAGTATAACCCACCAAAAACTGGGGTGATCTCTGGTAAAGGTAATATGTATATCCCACTAAAAACTGGGGTGATCTCAGGTAAAGGTAATAAGTATATCCCACCAAAAACTCGGGTGATCTCTGGTAAAGGTAATAAGTATATCCCACCAAAAACTGGGGTGATCTCAGATAAAGGTAATAAATATAACCCTCCAAAAACTGGGGTGACCTCAGGTAAAGGTAATAAGTATATCCCACCAAAAACTCGGGTGATCTCAGATAAAGGTAGAAAGTATATCCCACCAAAAACTGGGGTGATCTCAGAAATTAGATACATGTACCAATGTTTTATACAACCTCATACCAAATACATTTGGCCTACCATTTATTGTTCCCCTTAAACTGACATAATCACAAAATTTAACATTTAAACTATGCAATTGTTTTAAAGTCAGTGGACTGAGGGGGTAGGGTCAAATAATCTTCATGGAAAGATGTGCCAACAGTGGCGGATCCAGAAATTTTCATAAGTGGGGGCCCACTGACTGCCTAAGAGGGGGCCCGTTCCAGTCATGCTTCAGTGATTCCCTATATAATCAACAAAATTTTTCCCACAAAAGGGGGGGGGGCCCAGCCCCCACCCCTAAATCCGCCTCTATCCAATGCTAATTCAACTGCATATGAAGTATCCATGGGGGACTATGGATTACAAGTCTTCCCAAGCAAACTGCATTTGTACCTCATTCTAAGTTCCAATAACAATAAACTATTACTGTATAAGCTTACACAATTCTATATTTATTAAATTAAGTATTGATTCCCTTCATTGCACATTTATGTTGTCACTTATTCTTGAAAACTGTACATATTTAATACAACAGTGACAATACCCTGTTATTACATGACAATACTACAAATACTCATCATGTGAAAACAAAACATTCTTATCTATAAACCCTCTTTAAAAATTCAAATAATCTTAACTCTTCTATCATTTAACGATATATAATCAACTAAATGTCCTATACATTTTTTTTAAAAAGCATTTCATCTGTAAATTATTTGATTAAATCGATTGATTGATTTTTGTTTGTTGTTGTTTGTCCAGTGGTAAATATTTCAATGCATGAATTTTGCTTTGAAGAATTTTTTAAAAATATTTTCACAAGTTACAGTATAGTTTAGAAATTATATCCAAAAAGTTAAAATAACTCTAGAGGTAGTTACCAGCAAAAGAAATTTTACACTGTTTGTACATTTCTTATCTTTAATGGATGTGATAGAAGAAGATTCGAGTGCATGAAGAGTGCCATTCTTGATTGTCATATCTTCACTAATAAAATGACAATTTAAACACATCACAGTAAAAAAAAATGCAATTTCATGTACATTTTACACATATATAGATCTATTTCACAAACTGATTGAATCTTAGAATAGAGGTTCAAATAGTACAAGTATATTTTTTTTATGTTCTGATATAGATCAACATGTTTTTATTTTTTAATTTAATGTCCCAAAAAATTTAAAATACTGTTTCAATATTATTTTGCATGCAGCTGTCAAAACTAAATCTATCCGTTGCATGACATAAAATTTGTCTGATTTCACGGATATCGTTCTTGTGTACAGATGTTTCTCGACTGGTTTTAGAATATTTTTTTGTGTTATTTTAAGTTTATTGTTCTCCAATCTAATACATTTGTATTTCTAATAATTGTCTTCAAGCACCACTCACTAGGAATAAAATTTCAAATATGATCAGATTCACTATTTTAATTTGTAATTTTGAAAAAATTTCTAGAAACTACAAAAGTTATGTCATATCAGTTCATCGTACTCTTTTTGATATTTGTAAGCAACTATACTGCAATTCAGAAATTGAAAAAGATTTAAACTACAACATGTTTAGGTATGAAATCAGAACAATTCAAAAGGATTTATTTTATGAAATTCATATCAATATATCCAGTACAACGTTTTTTTTTTAAATCTTTAATACGAGAACAATTGGTTTCCATTAAAAAATCAGAAAAATTTCAGAAAATAAAGAGCGTAGCTATTTAATTCCTGCAGCTACTATATTATTACAAAACTACTTTTAAAAACTTGCCACAGACTAAGGCATAAATATCTACTTGTTAGACAAGTTTCTCAACTAACCATTAACATAAAATTAACATCAAATACTAATAGATGTCGATACGACAAAAATGCCCCTGCCTGCCGCCTCATTGTTGTTTATGCCAGAGAATGCATACAATAGATGAGGTGTACCAGGGTCAGCGACATACACTGACAAATGTATGTTCATGAGTTTAAAGTATGGCTGGAAATGAAATGCAAACGTGATCTCTGAGTCATAATTATGCACCAATGTACTAAAGATCAGCTCCAGGTCTGCATACTTTTCAAAAAAAAATCTGTACTACCGGAAGTACAATTTTATAAAATTTTCAAAGACCAATGTAAGCAATTCTGAAAATGTAGTTCATCTGGGGAAAAATCAACTCTGCAAGCATTACAATGAGGTTTTCACAAATAACAATATTCATGAAATATAATGTCCAAGAAACGATATTCCCCAAAAAGTCAGTCAATCAGAAAGGAATACAAACTTCAAATGTAAATCACCATAGTAGACAAATGTACCAAAAATCTATTTATTTGTAGGTATAACAAAAAAGTCTGGACAACTGTTCAGGGGCGTAGGACAGGCAGGGGTAACACAATATCCATAAGCCATTTGTTCATAGAAGTATAACAAAACTAAGTTAATTACTGTATTTGCCGTTTGTTCATAAGTGCCAGTGAAAAACTATCTAAAATCTCATTAGTTAGTGCTATAGGGACTTTCTTGCAACCTGAAAGTCTTTCGTACAACATGTACAGATATATGTTAAAAAAAACACTTTTCAAAATCTTTTATCTTTGTGTTTCTAAAGTTTTAGGTCGATACACTGGAGCATTAGATTTTGGTAAAGGTTTATTCCCAAGGATAATGTCTGCTGCTTTCTCAGCAACCATAATTGTTGGTCCATTTAAATTTCCACTAACCATTGCAGGCATTATAGAAGCGTCTACAACTCTTAATCCTTCTATACCGAGAACTTTGGTTTCTGGATCAACCACAGTCATTGTATCTGAAGGTGATCCCATTTTACATGTACATGATGGGTGATATGCACTATCCCCCATTCGACGAACATAGTCATCTATTTCAGCATCAGTCTGAGTTTTTGATCCTGGATTTAGCTCTGGTCCTACATAAGGTTCAAAAGCTTTCTGTTGGAATATTTCCCTTGCTAATTTTACACTATTTCTCATGTCTACTATATCTTCCTGTGTTGACATATAATTGGCCACAAGTTTTGGGTGATCTCTTGGATTATTACTTTTCAGTTTTATGTAGCCTCGGCTTGTTGGTCTCAATGTTCCCACATGAACTTGACATGCATGTCTGTCCCCCATTTTCCTTCCATGGTCGTTGACTGTAGAAGGTAAGAAATGAAACTGAATGTCAGGAAACTCTACTCCTGGTTTACTTCTTATAAATCCTCCCGACTCTAAATGTGCTGACGCAGCATCACCTTTTTGTGTTGCAAACCACTGTAGACCAATGCGGATCATGTTGTGAGGAAATTTCCATTGTGCTTTATATAAAGATAAAGGCTGAGTAAGTTCATACTGTACATAGACTTCTAAATGATCCTGTAAGTTTTCTCCAACACCAGGTAAATTCTGTACCACTGGTATGTTGAGTTTTTTTAAGTCATCTGCATTTCCTATACCAGATAACATCAAAAGCTGTGGTGAATTTATCGCTCCACCACTCAATATTACTTCCTTGTTTGCCATTGCTTTTTTCACAACACCACCTTGTTCATATTCCACCCCAACTGCACGATTATTGTCAAAAAGAATTCTATTGGTAAATGCTTTAACTTCTGCTGTCAAATTTGTTCGTTCATTTGCAGGACGTAGATATGCCGATGCTGCACTCCAACGTAATCCTTTATGAATTGTCATATCCATCCATCCAAGTCCTTCCTGCTGGTACCCATTCATATCATCTGTGAAAGGATAACCAGCTTGTACTCCAGCATCTATAAAAGCTTGGAAAAGGGGATTTTTGTTCTTTCCTCTAGACACATGTAATGGACCACTGCCACCTCTGTATTCGTTTTCCCCTAATTCATGACACTGAGCTTTTTTGAAATATGGTAGACAGTCTGCATAAGACCAAGAAGTAGCGCCTAACTTTTCCCAACTGTCATAATCTAATGCATTTCCCCTGATGTACACCATGGCATTTAATGAGGATGATCCTCCCCATACTCTTCCTCTTGGCCAGTACATTACACGATCATTCATTCCTTTTTCTGGCTCTGTATGATAGTACCAATTATACTTATCATCACACAGGTTATACATCAATGCAGCAGGCATATGTATTTTCCATGTGTAATCTTTTGGTCCAGCTTCCAGAACCAATACTTTGTTCTCTTCATTAGCTGACAATCGGTTGGCTAAAACACATCCAGCAGACCCAGCACCTACGATAACATAATCGTGAACACTACTTATGTCTGATTTTGTACTGTAATGTCTGGATGTACTGGTAGAAAATGATCTTTTAATTGTAGAAAATGGCCCACCAGCCGTATACATTGGAGCAGATTGACGTGATGGTTGCCTAGGTGATGGAGGAGGAAGAGACGGTGATGTACCAATGACGTGGTCAAGTACGTCATCAACAGATTCTACAACAATATCAGTATGATCTTCCAACTGTTGCTTTGATGCTACCCCAGTTAAAACACCAATACATCTTGTAGTGTCCACATTTATAAAATCGGCTGTAGCATCGCCAACAAGAACTGTTTCAGATGGATCAACATTTAATTGCTCACATATAAACTCTATATTATGTCTACCAAGTGGAGTAATAGCATGAGGATCGCCATCACATAAAAGGAAATCTATATAATTCATAACTCCCAAGTTTTGGAATTCTTTGAAGACATTATCTCTTTCATCTGCAGCTGAAACAGCAATCTTCATACCAGCATTTTTTAAAAGTTTAAAAAATTCTTTGATATCTTTGTTGAGAGTTTTTGAGTCCTCATACCAAATATGTTCACATTCTTTTATAACTTGGTTTGTGAGTATAACAGCTTCTTGATATGGAATACCATGCTTTCTCACAACATCCACCATTGACTTTTTAATTTCATACCAAGTACCCTCTGACAGAACACCTTCAGACACTTTCTTGGTCATTTCACAATACCCAAGTGTGTCTGCAATTTGTGGTCCAATTTTTAAACCGGTTTTCTCTTCAAATCTGAAAGGATTTAAATAAAGATATATCATTTCCTCTTCAGTTTGACAGATTAAACTATCAATATTTCACAAGCATTATATATATACTATGCTCATTTTTTTTAAAATTTGGTACATATTCTATTGAAATGTATTTGGAAATTATTACAGGCCCAATGGAAATTTTACAAACATGGCCTGGTATGCTGAAGACCAAGCCTGAAGACTGATGTATATCTGTAGGACTCTGGGGTGGGAAGGGTACTCTAAACTGCAATGGTCACGTTGAAGTGCAGTGGTCTTCGCCGAAGTGCGATGGTTCTTTCGCTGATGTGGGATGGTCTATAAGACGCGTAATGGCTAGTTTAAAATTTACAGATGTCTAATTATTATGAGAGCTTGAATTTTTTATAAGTAAGAATAAAAATACCTAACATTCAATGTTTTCTCCAGTTTCAGTATTAAAGAACCATTGGTTGTCTGTCTTGTACATGTTCTGATTCACAGTAGCCGTTTATATTTTTTGCTTATTTTGCTGTGTTCTGAGCCAAGAAGTATTTGCATTTCAACCAACTACCACATTTTTTCAGTCATTGCAATTAGTACTGGTTTCAAAGGAAAATAGCTTTTATATGTAGAGACAATTTATGAACGACTGATTTTGTTTTGTCTAAGCTATTTACAAAGTATAATGTTCATGATGTACACTACAATGTTACAGTGAGAACTGGAAATGCAAATACAATTTTTCTTGACTATTTTAAATTAAACACGTTTTACTCTCAGTGTTTTCCTTTAAAAAACTGAAAATCTATACTTCCAACAGACAAATTGACTTCTACATTTTCCTGTGAACATGAAAACATTGAACATTCGGCGTAGCTATCAACAAAATAGGGTCACAATACCACCATCACACTTCAGCGTGATCAAAAACACACCTCAGCGTTAAACCATCATACATCAGCATGACCATTACGGTTTGGAGTACCATTATAGTTCAGAGTCCCACATATCTATACATGTCAAATCTATTTTAAAAGGCAAAAATATCTGAGTATTAACTGTATTATACATTTATGATTACAGAAACTGGTTAACTGCATCTATTTGCTACCTGTACTGTATTGCATTTCTTATATATATATATTCTTGTTAGACTCAATTGTACAAATAACAGGTACACAAATAAATTTTTGCTTTATTTGTACATGTACAAATAAAAGTCTCCTGTCACCCGCTTCCATGTTGAGCAAGCGGTAAAATGGATACTTCTTTCTGGGTAACAGTAACGGTCCGCGTTTCAACTATCATGACTATGTCGATTTCTTTGAAAAATCAGAGGCAATGATTTGGATTTAAACAACTAAAGCCTCAAGTGCTGGGTGTAAATTGCAGGATAAAAACAATATATGTACATTGTCAGAAATATCAAATGTATTTGTACTCGCTACAAAATAGGAGAAAAGCTCGGAGAGCCTAGCTTTTCGTCCTGTTTCAAAAGTTCATACAAATAAATTTTATATTGTCCGACAATGTACATATATTGTAAATATACTCAGTATTATTATAAGAGATCCGAGAAGATGTTTTATCATTATTGCTACACATTTTCACTAAATATGAAGCTGTTTCTTGGGTGTGCTCATTCTTATATTTTCAAAATCACTGTGATATTGATGAAAAACAAGAAAATAAAGAAAATGTTTAAGATATATGCAATTTTCACCACTCCTTAAAGTCTCTGTAATGCAAATTATCTCTATTTCTTGAATACATAGTGTTTTAACAGGTTAATGATAGTGTATGTCGACTTCTTTATTTCCACCATACTGATAGTGATATTCAATTTAACTCTTTTTTGATTAGAATTTTTGTTCCATTCTTTTCTTAATTACTACATTTTTCAAGATATTTGAGAATAAGTTACATATGATATAACCCAAATGTTCTAATTTGAGTCATGGAGGCCATAAAATAAAGAATCTGACCTTTTACAAATGGCTTTGGTCCATTTGGATGACTTCGTATGAAGGCAGATGAGTGTGCCATGAAAGTCAAATACCACCAGGGAGAACTTTCTTTTGCCATTTATAGGTACTTCCTTGGTAACTTGTTCGTCATAATGATGTGGCTCTACAAGTACTCGCTCATCTGTTGTGTATACATAGCAATCTTTCCAATCTTCATATGGCATAACTAAAGGAAGTAGATCCTGAATGTCGGTAATGACATGATCAGCTCCCGGTAATAAATCACTAGTGCCTCCCACACCACTTAGAACACCAACAGTTAAACCTAAGTTTGCCCGTTTTGACATCAATATGTCTGTCTGTGTATCTCCAACCATTACAGTCTGTTCTGGATCAACTCCCAATTCTTTACAAATCTTCCAGGCATTATGTGGAGCCGGTTTTGCCTCCGTATGGGGATCGTCGCCACATATAAGAATGTCAATGTAATCTTTTAGTCCAAGCTCTGCAAGACCAGCCAAAGATCCTTCCCTATTGTCTGCAGTGCAAACAGCAATTTTAATATCATTCTTCTTTAATATTTCAAACAATGTCTTTAGGTTGCCAACAGATTTTAAATGTTTTGGATTTTTATTCTCTCCTTCCTCCCAGTTCTGGTCAAGAATTCCTCTAGCTTCATCCTCATCAATGCCTTCATTAATCAACATTTTAGCTAGTTCATCTTTGATAATAGATGTCGTTGCCTCTGCTAGAAGCCCTGGTTGGATTGTCTCAGTTTCAGAACAAAATCCAAGTGTTTCAAATATTTTGTCTTCTATTTTTAACCCAGTTGCACTTTCTAACCTGAAATTTAAAAAAAACATTTATACACTAATGAGCAACCATTTTTATATTTTATAAATACATGCATGCACCTCGAAATGTATTAATTTTTTTGGTTGTTGATTTCTACTAAATTGAACTCCTTGATTTAAAAAGCTTGCATTCCTATGCAATATACTTGTTGTAAAGTCCATTAATTGTAACACTAGACTATACTGTAAACAAACTTATTTTCAGATACTTTATTTTGAGCTTAGCCCTTTTTAGTCGATTTTGCAAACATTTATGTTAGCGACTTTCTAACTTTGTTCATGTATACATATAAGAAAAGATCCAAGTTTGACATATTAGCAACTATTTATATTGGGATTTTTTTTGTCTACTCACAAAAGTTTCGAAAATAAGTTGGTTTACAGAATTTGTTTGTACTGGTGGAATATGTTACAATGTTATGTAAGTCAGCATGAGTTTAGAAGGAAGAATCCATCTAGTTCCCCAAACTAACATAATGAACTAGAGGCTCTCAAGAGCCTGTGTCGCTCACCTGTATTTACTAATGCTTTGGAAATCATGTAAAACAAGGTTAAAATCATAATTAATAGTACAAATGTATTAGATATTAGATATTATAATGATATCTAAGATAATAACAACTAGAGGGTCTCAAGAGCCTGTGTCGCTCACCTGTATTTACTGATGCTTTGGAAATCATGTAAAATAAGGTTAAAATCATAATTAATAGTATTAGATATTAGATATTATAATGATATCTAAGATAATAACAAAAAACTGCAAAATTTTTGTAAAATTACTAACTCAGGGGCAGCAACCCAACAACGGGTTGTCAGATTCGTCTGAAAATTTCAGGGCAGATAAATCTAAATCTGATGAACATTTTTGCCACCCGTCAGATTTGCTCTCAATGCTTAAGTTTCAGAGATATAAACCAAAAACTGCATTTTACTCCGATGTTCTATTTTTAACCAAGTCGGCCATGATGGTTGGAAGGCGGGGTCATCGGACAAATTTTTTAAACTAGATACCCTAATAATGATTATGGCCAAGTATGGTTAATTTAATTTGTCTCAGTAGTTTCAGAGAAGAAGATTTTTGTAAAAGATTACAAAAATTTACAAAAAATTGTTAAAAATTGACTATTAAGGGCAATAACTCCTAAAGGGGTGGACTGACAATTTTGGTCATGACAAATTATTTGTAGATCTTACTTTGCTGAACATTATTGCTGTTTACTGTTTATCTCTATCTATAACAATATTCAAGATAATAACCAAAAACTGCAAAATTTCCTTAAAATTACCAATTCAGGGGCAGCAACCCAACAACAGGATGTCATATTTGTCTGAAAATTTCAGGGCAGATAGGTCTTGACCTTATAATCAGTTTTACCCCATGTCAGATTTACTCTAAATGCTTTGGTTTCAGAGATATAAGCCAAAACCTACATTTTACCCCTATGTTCTATTTTTAGCCATGGTGGCCATCTTGGTTGGTTGGCGGGGTCATCAGACATATTTTTATAACTAGATACCCTAATGATGATTGTGGCCAAGTTTGGTTAAATTTGGACTAGTGGTTTCAGAGGAGAAGATTTTTGTAAAAAGCTAACGACGACGACGGACGACGGACGCCAAGTGATGAGAAAAGCTCACTTGGCCCTTTGGGCCAGGTGAGCTAACAAGTAAAACTGTGAGCTACTGCTCACTGATGATACCCCCGCCGAAATATTTCGGTAAACAGGAAGTTGTTGAGTGATGAATCTGAAAACGCATCACACAGTATAGCTGACTTATATAAACCCTGAAACCAAATTTCAGAAATCCTTGTCTAGTAGTTCCTGAGAAAAATGTGACGAAAATTTTCAACTTGGCTATCATGTGTAAAATAATACAAGTCTTTAATGGTAATATTCTTTACAAAGCACAATCAAAGCGTGAAAGTGCTGTAAAGGCAGTTAAATACAGGTTGTGTGTATTTTTAGTCCAGTTATATCATTATCTTGCATAGTACAGTGTACTTATCAGAGGTGGCTTTCAGTATTTAAGATTTAGAGTTCTCTAATGATATTGAACAAGTTTTATGAATGTCATATTCTGAGCACTATATGAAGGTGATTGTTCTCACTTGTTTATGAACTAGTGCATTATGTCCAGTTTGTACCTTTTTTATCTATGTTTGTAGTCAAATACTGTTTAAAATAGTTAGGCATTTTCTTTTTAGTAATAAGTTAATGTTATCAACTGTATTTTATTCAACTTTGCAAATGTGGTTTGTTACTGGTAAGTATGGATGATAGTTGTTTCATTGGCAATCATAACACATCTCCTTATTTATATAATGATCTATATTCAACGACCTCAGGTACAAAAAAAATGTATGTAACTAAACTATGATGGGAAACCTTTGACTTCTTTCTTTTGTATAAACTTTTGATTTGGTACCATAGTACTATGTAGAATAAATGTACATTGCAACATGTCAACTCTTTCAATGACAATACTTTTTTTAGAAACTATAACTCCAAGCAAAATTATATTTCCAAGTATAAAGTAATTTATGAATGAAACAAGAGGCTCTCAAGAGCCTGAATCGCCCCCCTGTATTTCAGAGGAGAAGATTTTTAAATGTTAGCAAACTTGATGAACAAATTGTGTAAAATTGTCTTTAAAGGGCAATAACTCCTTAAGGGGTCAATTGACAATTATGGTCTTATTAACTTTTTTGTAGATCTTACTTTGCTGAACATTATTGCTGTTTACAGTTTATATCTATCTATAATAAAATGCTCCGCTGGGGCGAAGCTTGATACGACCGCAGAGGTCGAACCCTGAACAGTTGGGGCAAGTATGGACACAACATTCAAGCTTGATACAGCACTGAATTTGGATTGTAATTAAATATTTGACACAGCATAGGTTTCTGACACAGAATGAAAGTGGTCTAAGAACTTATAATTTTTTAATTTACCTATTCATACATGTGATGGACTGTAACTCAGATCAGGAGATTGGGAAATTTTGGTCAGGAGATTAGGACTCAGATCAGGAGGTTTTTAATCGACATAAATTTTGTCGTAAATGTAACCATGTGCTGTAAAAATGGTCTTTTAAAGTGTGTTTTCTTCAACTTTCCATCCAATTTATTATGTTTATAGTACCCTTGTACTTATAAAGTTTCTCCATCTTTATATTCTACATGTTCAATCTAACCTTTTTTTTTTCCAGTATGTTCAATAAATTTTTTACTTCATATTCTATAAAACAATCATTGCAACCAGAACATTTGTTTAACTATCTGCAAATAGCTTTTGTTAGCATACTCAGAAAATCATTCTAGCTGTTTAACAGGGGTCATAGTTATTATATAAATTTCAATTTAAGCCTTGAAAGGAAGTATAGAATCCTCAAATAATTTTCAAATTATTATTTTTTTATTTGTCCTAAGACATTAAAAATCATTTATTTACCATCCTTTTATGATTATTTGTTCAATTTATATTTTATTTATATTCTTTTAAAAAATTTCATTATTAAAAGGAAAGTAACTTAAAACAGGATAAATCAAGGGAAGTAACCCAATAAATACACAGTTTTTGTTACACAACGGCAGTTAGCCTGAGGTAAAAAATCGTTGATTACCAGTATGTTTGACACCCAAGCTGACAAGTGAAGCCATATAATTATGCATGTTAATTGATTTACAGGTAAAATATAACTTCAGGTAATGTGAGTTACACCAGATGCCTGAGATGATATGTTGGGCATATTTCCTCTTCAACGGGAGGTCGGGAGGAGACTCCTGAAAACGGGATTATTGTACTCCTGTCGGGAGGTTCACATGTATGCTATTCAAACCATATCATTATTATTTGCTTTTAAATCAGAAATAACCAATTTAAAATGGAAAATTTTAAAGAAAAAAAAAATCCCCCCCCCCAAATTTTTTGAACCCCCTTATGATTCATCACCCCCACACTCAATCCCAGCTTTCCCTTTGTGGAATGGTACCTTGCAGTACAATTTTAGAGAGATCCATTCACTTGAACACAAGTTATTGTCTGGAAACTAGAAAAATGCTTGTTTTTTGGTCCCTTTTTGGCCCCTAATTCCTAAACGTTTAGGGCAATTACCCCCAAACTCTAACCCTGCTTTCCCTTTGTGATATGGAACCTTGCAGTACAATTTCATAAAGATCCATACACTTACACACAAGTTATTGTCATGAAACTAGAAAAATGCTTGTTTTTTTGCCCTTTTATAGCCCCTAATTACTAAAATTTTGAGGGAATTAACCCCAAAATTAATCCCAGCCTTCCCTTTGTGGTATGGTATCTTGCAGTACAATTTCAGAGAGATCCATACACTTGAACACAAGTTATTGTCTGGAAACTAGAACAATGCTTATTTTTTTCCCCTTTTTGGCCCCTTATTCCTAAACTTTTTGGGAAATTACCCCCAAACTCAATTCCAGCTTTCCCTTTGTGATATGGAACCTTGTAGTACAATTTCATAAAGATCCATACACTTACAAACAAGTTATTGTCATGAAACTAGAAAAATGCTTGTTTTTGCCCCTTTTTGGCCCCTAATTCCAAAAATTTGGAGGAAATTACCCCCAAAAATCAATCCCAGTATTCCCTTTGTGATATGGAACCTTGTGATACAATATCAGAGAGATCCATACACTTACACACAAGTAATTGTCATGAAACTAAAAAAATGCTTGTTTTTTGCCCCTTTTTGGCCCCTAATTCCTAAAATTTGGAGGCAATTACCCCCAAAATCAATCCCAGCATTCCCTTTGTGATATGGAACCTTGTGGTACAATGTCAGAGAGATCCATATACTTACACACAAGTTATGTCTGGAAGTTACAAAAATGCTTATTTTTGGCCCCTTTTTGGCCCCTAATTCCTTAACTGTTAATACCATAACCCCCAAAATCAATCCCCACCTTCCTTTTGTGGTATTGAACCTTATGGTAAAATTTCATTGAGATCCATTCACTTAAACTAAAGTTAGAGTGCGAAAACTAATGTGTATTCGGACGACGAAGCCGGACGACGACGACGACGACGACGACGCCAACGTCATACCAATATACGACCACAAAAATTTTTTTGCGGTCGTATAATAATATTCAAGATAACAAAAAACTGCAAAATTTCCTTAAAACTACCAATTTAGTGGCAACAATCCAACAATGGGTTGTTCGATTCATCTGAAAATTTCAGGGCTGATAGATCTTGACCAATTGAACAATTTTACCTCATGTCAGATTTGTTCTAAAAGCTTTAGTTTTTAAGATATAAGCCAAAAACTGCATTTGACCCCTATGTTCTATTTTTCACCATGGTGGCCATGTTTGTCGATGGATCAAAACTTCGGATATAATTTATAAACTAAATACCCTAAGAAACATTTAGTTAAAGTTTGAAGGTATTTGGCCCAGTAGTTTCATGCGAACTGCTTAAAGCATTTATGAGTTGTTGTCCAAAAACTGGAAAATCCCCCCTTTTTTAATGAATAAAACCCCATAACTCAGAAATGTAAAATCTAAAATTTATAAAATTCTAAAGGGAGCTTACGGATTGATAATTTAGTCTTAGATGCAAGATTTTTTTATCAGTTGTTAGTGGCTTTGAACTAGCTGTCAGTAACTGTGAGTACTCTCAGATCTGTACTTAAGTGTCTTTTTGTTGTTTGGATATACAACTACCCGGCCACGTCCACTTGTATTTGTATTTATCCATCTGATGAGTTAAGCCTCTTTCGACTGATTTTTATAGTTCGTTCTTATATTGTACTGTTACACCACTGTCCCAGGTTAGGGGGAGGGTTGGGATCCCGCTAACATGTTTAACCCCGCCACATTCTGTATGTACATGTATGTGCCTGTCCCAAGTCAGGAGCCTGTAATTCAGTGGTTGTGGTTTGTTTATGTGTTGCATATTTGTTATTCGTTCATTTTTTGTACATAAATTAGGTTGTGCATTTGTTTTTTCTACATTGGCTAGAGGTATAGGGGGAGGGTTGAGATCTCAAAAAACATGTTTAACCCCGCCGCATTTTTGCACCTGTCCCAAGTCAGGAGCCTCTGGCCTTTGTTAGTCTTGTATCATTTTTAATTTTAGTTTCCTGTGTACAATTTGGAGTTTAGTATGACATCCATTATCACTGAACTAGTATACATATTTGTTTAGGGGCCAGCTGAAGGACGACTTCGGGTGCGGGAGTTTCTCGCTGCATTAAAGACCCATTGGTGGCCTTCAGCTGTTGTCTGCTCTATGGTCAGGTTGTTGTCTCTTTGACACATTCCCCATTTCCATTCTCAATTTTAATTGTTCGGTAAACAGGAAGTTGTTGAGTGATGAATCTGAAAACGCATCACACTTTTTTAAAGCGGGGGTATAATAACCAGGTCAGGAATTAGTATAGTACTGAACCTCAGTTATACCACATAAATATTCACATGAGAGCTGATATTCATGACAAACATCATGAACATTGTGGTAAATCATTTTGTTGATACTTGCATGTGCTCTATATTTATGGTCCCTAAATAGTTGAAAATCACCAAAATCTATGCATTTTGCTCAAAAACTGTTGAAGACAAAATTAGATACCATCTTTTGAAAAGAAAATTTTGATGAAGTTCCCAAGTCTGGAAAAATAGGAAAATAATTCTCAAAGTATTCAATACTAGCAGGTGCACAAGTGGATTTGGAGGAGATCATGAAAAGGTAAATGGTCTAATACAGCAGACATATGACAGACACAAAGTGATGACAACAGCTTAACTAAACATCAATATAATAACTTTAATTTCAATGAAATCCAAAGCAGATATTCAATAATGATCTTTCAAGATAGACATAAAAACTCAATAAAAAAAGTCGACCCATGTATAATTAGTGAATACATAGATACCCAGTAAAAGACTTGTTTACACAAGTTGTACTACTGTTAATTTATTATTATTTGTGTGATACCAATTTTTGTCGAGCCTTCGACTTTAGTCGAAAAAGCGAGACATAGCGATCCTACATTCCGTCGTCGTCGTCGTCGTCGTCGTTGGCGGCGTCCACAAATATTCACTCTGTGGTTAAAGTTTTTGAAATTTTAATAACTTTCTTAAACTATCCTGGATTTCTACCAAACTTGGACAGAAGCTTTTTTATGATCATAAGATAGTATCCAGAAGTTAATTTTGTAAAAATAAAATTCCAATTTTTCCGTATTTTACTTATAAATGGACTTAGTTTTTCTGCCGGGAAATATTATATTCACTCTGTGGTTAAAGTTTTTAAAATTTTAATAACTTTCTTAAACTATCCTGGATTTCTACCAAACTTTGACAGAAGCTTGTTTATGATCATAAGATAGTGGGGAGAAGTAAATTTTGTAAAAAAAAAAATCCATTTTTTCCTTATTTTACTTTTAAATGGACTTAGATTTTCTGCCAGGAAACAACACATTCACTCTGTGGTTAAAGTTTTTAAAATTTTAATAACTTTCTTATACTATTTTGGATTTGTACCAAACTTGGACAGAAGCTTGTTAATGATCAAAAGCTAGTATCTAGAAGGAAATTTTGTAAAAAAATAAATCCATTTTTTCCGTATTTTACTTTTAAATGGACTTAGATTTTCTGCCAGGAAACAACACATTCACTCTGTGGTTAAAGTTTTTAAAATTTTAATAACTTTCTTATACTATTTTGGATTTGTACCAAACTTGGACAGAAGCTTGTTTATGATCAAATGCTAGTATCCAGAAGGAAATTTTGTTTTCTTCCAGTTAACATTACATTCAGTCTGCAGATAAAGTTTTTAAACATTTATTAGATTCATTAACTAATCTGGATTTTTACCAAACTTGGACAGAAGCTTCTTACAATCAAAAGATGGTATCAAGAGGAATATTTTTATTGATTTACTTCCTCATTTTTGTTGAGCCTGCGATTAACAGAAAAAGTAGGCGAGACACTGGGTTCCGCGGAACCCTTACGAATTTTTCCTGGATTTTGAGGGCATGGTTGAACCACAAATTTAAATTCCAGGGATTGTACAAATTTTCTATAAGCTATATGCAAGCTCTGACAAAACCACTCAATCAAATATTAATAACAATATATTTTTTCATGAATCCACAAAAATTGGTTTCCATGAAAAATAATTAAATCCACAATAAATAAAAATACGTACTTAGCAGCCAATTTTCTAGACCATGGGGCCCACATAGAATGAAAGCATATAAGAGTCCCATCTTTATCAAAAATGACTAGCTGCACTTTCTTGTTGTGTGGGGGCGTCACACTCTTCATGGTCTGGGATCTATTTCTGTACTGGTTGCTCCCACTCACAGTTCTGCATGGTAACAGAGTATGGTGTTGACCTGGAATATAATAATATTACCATGGAAACATATTAATAACACCACTGAAAAAGAATATATTTTACAAGTTGTTTCTTTCTAGTCTTTCCATTTCTTTTTTTCTGTAGTTATCTTCAAAATCTATTGCAAAATTTTTACGATATATATATAACATTGAACAAGAATGCATGGTGTTCTATGGACAGATATTCTTGTTCAATGTATAAATTTCAAATAACAATTTTCCATGTTCAGTGAACCACAAAATTTGGGTCAAACCCTTAATTTGGTATATATTTAAAATTTTACATCACATTGAAAATATGCATTAAATGACTAAATTTCAAGATGATTAGATCAGAACTTCATTGTAAACTTCCTTATACATAAACATTAATCTACCTGAAACCTAAACTTAAAACCTGATACAGGATGGACGTAAGGATGGATATATTTCCAACGTTATCACATGACTTGTGTGTAAAATGAGTTCAGTCACAGTAAAAACAGACTATCTTAAATTTAAAACTAAATGACCAGTCACCTTTGTACATTTTTCAATTGCAAGGAAAATAAGACAATACTGAGTAACCATATTGAGGCCTAAACACATTGCTCTATTGTCACATACAGTGCAAGGCCATGCTGATAGATCATCATAATACAATAGGTATGCAATTATAATTATGGTCTGTCAGATTAGCAGTCACATGGTTTTATGGGTTTCTTTTACCTACTGTAATTTGCTTTATGCATGTTATATGCTGCTGTGTAACAGTTCCCTTTAAAATGTAGAATTTTGACCATGAAAGTACTCCATTAGGTTCATGTTCTTACATATATCAAATCAGTGCTTTACCATGTTTGATGAACTGACCCCCCCCCCCCAAAAAAAAAAAAAAAAAAGCAAACTATAAAAAGGATGCAAGCCTAAATCTCAACTTTTTTAATAATTTTCTTTTCACATATATATCAGTTTGACTATGGATAACTAATAGTTGGCATTGTTTGAATTCAGACCACCTTAAGGTTTCACCTACTGGTAGTTATTTTTTAAGCCATTTCAAGTTAAAATTCTTTTTTTTTTAAACTTTTTTTTTCAAATAATAAACTTGCAGGAACAAAAGTTGAATTTCTGAACCAACTCATTACATAAACAATTTTTGTACCTTTTGGTTTAAATCTCAATGTTCTGGTTAAAAGCTGTATTCCACATCTTTCTAATCTTCTTAAATCACAAAACCTCCTCACACCAATCTGAGCCATAGTTCAACTTATAGTCTGAAAAAAATATCTATTGTTTCAATATAATACATCTATAAACATGATATAAGTGATCAGAAAAAAATATCAGTACAAATGACAATGAACATGAATGAAGTGGATGAAAGGATTTTTTGTTGTCAAGGAAATAAGCTGACTTCTCTTGTCACAGTATTAACTTGCTTCACTCGATCATTAAACTATCCAGCAGTAAAATGAATAAAAGCAGATGTACAAGACAGTAAACAAACAAAACAATGATACAAAATACTAGAAAAACTAAAGGTCATGCTCTAAATTGCTCTAAGTAATTTCTAGATTAAAATCAACACCATTTTTTTTTTTGTGTCACGAAAGACAACTAACAAGGAGGTTCCTGACATAGGGGATTATTCACTAATGTATTTAGGGTCTCAGTGGCTGAGTGGTATAAGTAGTTCATCTACTGTATCACTAGCCTGTCAACGCTGAGGTTGTAAGATTGAAGCAACTCCCTGTATTTATATATATTTACAATAACAATAACAATTTGCAGAAAGATATAATAAAATGCTCCACAGGGTGCAGCTTGATACCACCACTGAGGTCGAACACTGAACAGTTGGATACAACATTCAATCTTGATACAGCTCTGAATTTGGATTGTGATTAAATATTTGACACATCATAGGTTTCTGACACAGAAAGAATGTGATCTAAGAACTAAAAAATTTGAAATTGAGCATTTACCTATTATGGTCCAATATCCAAAATCTAAAAAAATGGTTAGATTCAGCATATCAAAGAACCCCATACATTCAAATTTTATTGAAATCAAACAAAGTTTGATTTTGGACCTCAAATTCCCAATGTGAACCAATTTGATAACGGGGCCCAAAACCCAAAATTTAAATACACAGTCAGATTCAGCATATCAAAGAACCCTATATGTTCATTCTTTTAAAATCAAACAAAGTTTAATTTTGTACCCCAATTTAGACCAACTTGAAAACAGGGCCCAAAATCCAAAATCTAAATACATGTTCAGATTCAGCATATCAAAGAACCCCAACAATTCAATTTTTGTAAAAATCAAACAAAGTTTCATTTTGAAACCTTTGGACCTGAATGTGGACCAATTTTTAACAGGGCCCAAATCCAAAATTTAAATACAAGGTTAGATTCAGCATATTAAGAACCCCAAGAATTAAAGACTCTGAATTAAACCCCATTGAAATTGGTCAAGAAATTAGCAATTTAAACAAAGTTTTCAAAAAGTATTGTTTTTTACCCTAATTTTCAACTGTTATGGGTCGATGCCACTGCTAGTGGACGTTTCGTCCCCGAGGGTATCACCAGCCCAGTAGTAAGCACTTCGGTGCTGACATGAATATCAATTATGTGGTCATTTTAATAAATTTCCTGTTTACAAAACTTTGAATTTTTCGAAAACTAAGGATTTTCTTATCCCAGGCATAGATTAACTTAGCCGTATTTGGCACAACTTTTTGGAATTTTGGATCCTCAATGCTCTTCAACTTTGTACTTGTTTGGCTTTATAACTATTTTGATATGAGCGTCACTGATGAGTCTTATGTAGACGAAACGCGCGTCTGGCGTACTAAATTATAATCCTGGTACCTTTGATAACTATTTACACCACTGGGTCAATGCCACTGCCGGTGGACATTTCGTCCCCGAGGGTATCACCAGCCCAGTAGTCAGCACTTCGGTGCTGACATGAATATCAATTATGTGGTCATTTTAATAAATTTCCTGTTTACAAAACTTTGAATTTTTCGAAAACTAAAGATTTTCTTATCCCAGGCATAGATTAACTTAGCCGTATTTGGCACAACTTTTTGGAATTTTGGATCCTTAATGCTCTTCAACTTTGTACTTGTTTGGCTTTATAACTATTTTGATATGAGCGTCACTGATGAGTCTTATGTAGACGAAAGGCGCTTCTGGCGTACTAAATTATAATCCTGGTACCTTTGATAACTATTTATGGCCATAACCACCAAAATCAATCCAAACCTTCCTTTTAAGGTATAGAACCTTGTGGTACAATTTCATAGAGATCCATACACTTACACACAAGTTATATAATAGAATAAAGAGCTGTGTCAAGAGTGCATGATACGGCCATACGCCGTTTGTTGCTTTTCAACAAATAAAGTTCCAAAACTCCAAAATGTCATATAAGAAATTCATAAAAAAAACTAAAGGGAGCTTACTTTAATAGATATAAACCAGTCACCAAAGTTTCAAGAAAATGCTCAAAGAATTTTTGAGTTATTGTCTGGAAAACTGGAAAATCCCCCCTTTTTTTATGAATAAAATCCCATAACTCAAAAACTAAAAATCTAAAATTAAAAAAAAACGAAAGGGAGCTTACATCAATAGATATAAACAATTCACCAAAGTTTCATGAAAATTGGTTAAAGTGTTTTTGAGTTATTGTCCGACATTTTGACGACAGACGGACAACGGTATACCATAATAGTAATATGTCCCATAAACGGGCGTATAAAAAAAAGGATATAGGCTATTCATTCATGACACAAAATCAGTACATGCACAGCAAAAGAAAACACACAAAAAGCAAAGGAACATCACTCTTATTGCTGTTCTTCATCTCAAAGTCACAGGGAGGCCTTCAACAAGGAGCAAAAAACTCTCACCTCACTGCAAGTTTTAGATGGCCCCTAGCACCGGCTTGAGTGGAATTCTTTGCAAGAATAATTTGGATAAACTTTGTAAGATATAACACCACTAAATCGGGCCCACATTGTCCTGAAACATGAAAAATGCTTGTTTTTGGCCCTTAATTCCCCCTATAATAATAATAATAATAAACTAGCCTTTGGTAGGATACTAAGTATGTTATCATTACTTAAAAAGAACAAAGTTACTTAGTTGTTTAGGTATTGATACATTGTATAAAGCAATATCCAATCCTCACATGTTGTAAAACCTTTTTCTCTTAATGGTAAAAATTGAGATTTATGAGAATTTATCAAACAGAAAGCTACACAGGCTCCTTTTATTATGTTATTTCTTTAGTAGTCTTAGTTGTTTTAGATAATTTTAAGAAAAAGCATCAAATTCTGAACAAGTCAATAAAAATGAGAATAGGAGAATATCAGTGAAGTAATGAATTTGTAATAATTAACATGTCATGTTTTCAGTGTATTACAATCAAAAATATCTTACCTAAAATGACCACACTGAATTGAAGGAAAGGTATTATATATCATGTATATACTGATAATCATCTGATTTAGCATCGATGTTCATGACATGGTGTTGACTTTTATATCAGCATGGCCTAACCTTGACTAGTTCATATTAACCTATCAAATCAGTCCACAATTTTTAAAATTTTAAATGTCCCAAATTGAGGTGTGTTTGTTTTGAGATGTCACTGGGGTGCAAATCTTAAAAAATTTTCCACATCATTTGTTGTTAGGTTGCTTAAGCGTGTATGTAACATGTATCTAAACTGCTGTCAAAGGTGAAGATATAAATGTATTTAAACGTTAGATTTGAATTATCTTTTTTTGGGGGCTTTTATCAGGAAAAGCACTTTTGAAATTACTTAATACAAACATCAAAATGGTGATAAAATAAGAATAATCATTATGTTAAAAGTAATCAAATTCAATCATATCCGTCTGCTGCTTAGTTAATGTATTATTAGTATCTATTGAGAAATTTTAATACTTTGTACAAAAAATTAATAATTATGAGTATAAAGAAAATTTGCTGAAAATATTTTTTTTTTTTTTTTTTTTTTCAATCAACTCATTTTTCCTTTGAAAGTTACCCATTAATTTTAAGATAAGGCAAATTAAATCATGTGAATAGTTAAAATAAAATTTATTTCATTACAAATGTTATGTGCTCCTTATATCATATTTATAAGCACAAAAATTGTGAAAATGAGTTTGTAACAGATTAATGGATACATGTATTAGATACACCCATGAGGGCATTAGCCCAATTGGGTGTATCTAGTTTACACCAAGAAATCATTGTCAATGAAGAATGATAGTTTTCCATAATTTACGAGGGGGGATCTTTCAACTTTTTGACTATATGTTGTTGAAAAGCATGATAAATGCAGGGTATCAATCTCATTTTACGAAATCTTGGTGCACATGTACCAGACAAAATAAGTTGTGAATCCTTGAATATGTTTTGATTGATTGTTGTTGTTATGAAAACAGGCCAGTGGCAAGTATTTAAATGCAGATTCAAGACTAGAACTAATAACTATGAATCAAATAGTAAGGTTCTGAAAAATTGGTTGATAAGAATGAAGAGCAGTTAATTTGGATAGGCTGCCATAGGAAAAATAAGCCTAAGTGATGTTGAATAACTTGCCATTAAAAAAGCCATCTATGGACCCCTCAAAGTGCTGATAAAAGGAAACTAACTTACAGAAAGTATGACACTTTTCATACTTGAAGCATTGGATTCAAAATCCCTATTTCAATTGCTGGTATTCTATCCTCTGGGGACATATGTCGTCTAAACCCCCTGTCCCCACTTTCTAACTTCTTTTTGTTTGACTTTTGAGCCAACCTCCCCCAACCCTCACCCCACTAGGGTGCACTTCTTTCACTATGAATTCTTCCTTTAGGAGTAAATTTGCTATTAAAGTGTAAATATTTCATTACGTGAGGTCGCTGTCTATTGTGCTGAAGGTCCCTGGTTGGATCCTGACTTGGGGCGCTGAAAATATCAGAACATATAAGAACCTAAGCAGCTAAAGCTGGGTGATTTTACCAATACCAAAGTTTAAACTAGAATGGGTACTTTGGGGGCCTCAGTTGGTTTAAGTCAAATTATTCAATCTGTAGATATCTCTTAAGTTTGTCTATTCCTGCTGATCACCAACCATATATCAACAGGTCAGGAATAGCCATTAAAAGATGAGTTTTCAATTCCTATTCTATGAATGAACTACCCTGGTCGACATAGGGTCATTCAGGGAAAATGTGTCATAGGACATTGTGATGTGAAATATT